ACGACACTTGACGACATTCAAGAATTTGAATGAACTCCAACAGCAAAACGTCACACTACGCAGGATGCTCCGGGATGTCGGTGATAAGATGGAGGGAGAGGAGGCTCGACGGAAAAACGAATCTTACCAGAAGGATCAAGAAGAACTGAAGGAGCTGCGCGTTAGGGTCCAAACATATCGGGACGAAATGGCAAACCTTATTGCTCAGACAAAGAGTTATATCAAGGAAAGAGACACGTTCCGCAGCATGCTTACACGTCGCCGAGAGACCGGAGAATCAACAACCCCCTTTTCACAGTCTCTTCCATTGGGTGCAGTGGCTCCTGTTGCTGTAGGAGATAACGTTTCGCAGTCCCTAGAGGCTCCAAACTATACGGAGCTTCTGCGAAAGCTGCAAGCTAACTTTGATTCATTCCGGCAAGAAACAGCCACCGACCATTCATCCCTAAAACAGCAAGTTAATGATCTTACGAGGAAAAATAGTGAGCTGCAAAGCGAGATCAGTCGCTCAAGTAGCCAGTTGGCGGCCGCCGTCCAGCGCGCTGAACTCCTCCAATCCAACTTCAATTTACTTAAGGGAGAAAATGTTGAGCTTCAGAAACGGCACGCGACTCTCATGGAAAATGCGAACAAACAGGACTTAAGGACTCAACAAGTGGCGGAGGATTTGGTGGAGGCAAGAGGGCTCGTTGATAGTCTGCGAAGAGAATCGGCAAATTTGAAGGCGGAAAAAGACCTCTGGAAAAAGATCGAGAAACGATTGGTGGAGGACAATGAATCTTTGTTCAACGAACGTGCACGCCTCGATTCTCTTAATGCGAACCTCCAATCTATGCTGAATGAACGGGAACACCTGGAATCTGAAAGCCGCCGGCGCCTTCAGTCAACGGTTGAGAACTTGGAATCTGAACTGCAAACCACCAAGCGAAAACTCAACGAGGAAATGGAGGAAGCTAAGAAATCAACGCTACGGAGAGAGTATGAAAACAGCCAAAATCAAAAGAGAATTGACGATTTAGTTACCAGCCTTAGCACGGTCCGTGAAGAACTCATCGGCACGAAATCCACCCGTGACCATTTGCAATCAAGAGTTGACGAGCTATCTGTCGAGCTTAAGAGTGCGGAAGAACGACTGGAAGTTTTGCAACGGAAGCCCAGCGCTGCTACTGCTACTGTTTCCTCTGGTCCTGATACCGAAGCTGGGATCGCAGCGGGTGAGGGTGGGCTGAGTCGAGAGCAAGAGTTGGCCTTTGAAATTTCCGAATTAAAACGGGATCTTGAATTGGCTAAATCTGACCTCGAACACGCGAAGGAGCAGGTGGAGGATTACAAGGCCATCAGTCAATCCACTGAGGAGCGTCTTCAATCGGTCACTGATACAAATGAACAATATCAAGAAGACACCAATCGTTTGCTTGACGAGAAGGATAACAAAATATCTGAACTGCAAAAGCGTGTCGAGGAAATTACCTCTGAGCTTGCTATGACCAATGATGAACTCTCAAAACTACGTGACCGGGAAGCTGACTCCCAACGCCGGTTCGATGATCAAAAGTCAATGCTGGAGACCGAAATTTCCAGACTCAAAGAGCAAGAAGAACGATATACGGCTGCTGCTCAGTACCATCAACAAGATCTCAAAGCCCAGGCCGAAATTGCCCAGCATGCTCAACAAAATTACGAAAACGAGCTAGTGAAACATGCCGAAGCAGCCAAAAATCTGCAAATTGTTAGAGCAGAAGCCAGTCAGCTTAAACTTGAAGTCGTCGACTTAAGAACCCAAGCTGAATCCGCCAAAAATAGCCTTTCGCGGGAGGAAGAAAACTGGAATGAAATGAAAGCTAGATACGAAAGAGAAATAACGGAGCTTAATCGACGTCGCGAGGAAGTTGTCAATCAAAATACTCTGCTTCACCAGCAACTTGAAAACATTACCCGGCAAATTTCAACTCTGCAGCGCGACAAGGAGAGTATGCCAGAAGATGTTGACGAGTCAGGATCGTCAGCATCTAGCCTCGAAGGACTACAAGAGGTTATTAAATTCCTGCGAAGAGAGAAGGAAATTGTTGATGTTCAATACCATTTATCGACTCAGGAAGCCAAACGCCTTCGCCAACAGCTGGACTACACGCAATCTCAACTCGATGATACTCGGCTCAAGCTTGAACAACAACGTCGTGCTGAAGCTGATACTGAACATAATACCTTGAACCATAAAAAGCTAATGGATACTCTCAATGAACTTAACCTCTTCAGGGAAAGCAGTGTCACCCTCAGGAACCAAGCGAAACAAGCAGAAACTGCCCTAACAGAGAAGTCTGCTCGTGTGGAAGAACTGATACAACAAATAAGTCCGCTGGAAACTCGTATTCGAGAACTGGAGAACGTCGTGGAAACGAAGGATGGAGAGTTCAAACTACTACAGGCAGATAGGGACAGATGGCAGCAACGGACTCAAAACATTCTACAGAAATATGACCGTATCGACCCTGTGGAAATGGAAGCGCTCAAGGAGAAGCTTGCTGCACTAGAAAAGGAGCGCGACGAAGCTGTTTCTGCTAGAGATGAACTTCAGACCCAAATAACAACATTGTCAGCCCAGGTTAAGCAAGGAGAGGAACGGATTCAAATCATGCGTTCAACCCTCACGGATCAATTTAAAGCAAGGTCGAAGGAACTCTCTTCTCGGATTCAGGCCAAACAAGCGGAGCTAAATACGGCAATTCAGGAAAAGGAGGTTATCCAACTTGAATTGGATCGCACGAGGGGAGAACTGAATGCGCTGAAGGCGAAGGTACCAGAGGATGGAGCCCCCACTCACACTCCAGCTCCCGCCCCCGTAAACCAAAGCGTTACGGATGCCCAAAGGCCACCCGCTGTCCAGGGGACGGTGCCTGCAGCGAACGACAGTGCAGCTGCTGAGAAAATTAAAGCCCTCGAGGAGAAGATCCAAAGACTGGAGGCTGCACTTGCTGAGAAGGAAGCGACAATCGATCAAAAAGTCAAGGAACGGGTTGATAAGATGAAGCAGACGTTGAATAACAGTCTTGCTGATTACAAGGCACTCCACAAAGAGGAGGTTGAAAAACTTAAAGCGAGTCACCAGCAAGAACTAGAGTCTGCGACCGCGTCGGCTTGTAAACCGGATGGCGTTCCCGAGCTTAGTGATGCTCAGGCAAGGGAGCTGGTAGCTAAGAACGAGACCATCAGAGCGATCGTTCGCAATAACATCAAGAATGCCGTGACTAAAGAAAGAGCAGCTATGGCGAGCAAGGAGGCGCAAGTTGCAGCGGCACCAAATGCCGACGCCATCAGGGAGTTGGAGAAGAAGTTCAGTGAGGAAAGGGAGGCGATTATTAAGGAACGAGATCAGAAAATTGGCTCTGCTGTTGAGCTAGCTGAGAAGAGAGTGTTGGCGAAGCTGAGCATGACTGAGGGACGTGCGAGAAATGCGCAGGCTAAAATCGAAGTCGTTCAGAAGGCGGCCATTGAAACACCACAAAAGCCTGTTGTTGAAGTTTGGGAGATTGCTAAAGTTGCGCGGCCAGCGCCAGTAGCAGCGGTGGCCCAACCGCCTACCGCCCAAGCCCAACCTCCGCCTCCCACTCCTGTTCAGTCACCAGCGCCAAAACCAGCACGAACTGAACATCCTGACGGTGCTCCAACCCCGACCTCACAGGCACAAACTCCTCAACCGCAAACACAAGTGCAACCTCAACCTCAACCCCCTCAACCATCTCAAACGCCTCAACCACAACCATCTCCGTCTCCTGCCCCTGCTCAACGCGCACCTCCTGCTGCGGCTGCTGCAAGTCCGAAACCTAAGCAGGCGACTCCTGCACGAGCCCCTCAATCACAACAACAGTCCCCACAATTACAGCAGCAGCAACAGCCCCCACCGCCAGACAAAACCAACCAAGCAGCTCCCGCTCAACAAGTGAACCAACCCCAGACTGCGTCATCTCTCCCTAACAGGCCTCCGCAGAGCAATCACCCAGCAAGTGGTACCGGCGCGAATGTGCTTCGCGCTCTCCACTCTGGGCTTCCAATTTCTCGGGGGGGTAGAGGGCGCGGAGTACCACCTAGCCAGCAACACAATCCGTTCGGCCCGCAAGCTACCGAGCAGCAAGGAGGTCAGGGTCAACCACCTCAACAGCAGCCGCAACAGGGCATAGGTCGAGGCTCCGGTTTACCGCGAGGCGGCGCCCGGGGCCGAGGTGCTCAAGGTCGCGGTGGCGCTCAAAACGTTCAGACCGGCAATCTACCCCAGGGTCAAGGGCAGCCGAGTCCCAGAGGTGGACGTGGTGCACTCAATGCTCACGCCCGTCAGTTTATTCCTCAGGGCAACAAGCGAGCCAGAGATGATGGTGGGGAAGGTGGTGATAGTGGAAGTGGGAAGAGGATTCGTGGAGGCGGTGCGGGATCTTAGGGACCTTTGTGTGGACCAGTCAGTGGGATATATCATTTACATTTTGTTTGATCCTAGAGGTCACTGATTTTTCATTTGTATTTTCCTACCTTTCTATTTTGTTTCGTTGTTTCAGGGGTGATATTTTGAACACCGGGAGCGTTCTTTTTATTTTACTTTTTTCTTTTCTATCATTATAATTTCTGTTCTGGCGTCCCGTTTTCTTTTCTTTGGTTTTTTTTTTGTGACATCCTATTTCCTGATTTTCCCCGATCTCCCCTTGCAAGGCGAGGGAACAAAGCGGACGAGATTTCTATCCATATCTACTTTGTATGTATGTACTCTATTCGGATCGAAAAGCATGTGCATGGGCTTTCATAGGGTCATAGGGGCCTCTTATCATATTTATTCTCCATCTTCTAGCAGTATTTTTCTTGAAACCGTAAACATTGGTAGTATTCCGCAGGGTATCCAGGACGCTAAATCGCCAACAAACAAGGCGGAGCAAGCAAGCTACGCCCTCTGAGATGAGAAACAAAAAACAACAAAAATAAGAAATATTTATCCCAATAAAAAAGAAAAATACCAAACCTCACCTCCTCCTCCCTCCCCCACCAATACTCCCAGCCCCGATCAACTTCACCAACCCTTCCCTCTCCTTCTCCAGCACCCCTAACCGACCCTTTTCCACGACAGCTCCCCCCAACCCAAATCCAAGCTCTGTCTCATCACTATTATACTGTTGCGCTTGTCCATTGGCCCTTTTCCGTCTCTGTAACTGGCTCCCACCAGCACCAGTATTACCACTACTCCCACCCCATATCACAATCCAACTGCCAACTGCCCCATCGTCCGGAATGCAACAGCTGGGACAGACCTTCGCGTGCTGGCCGACGCGCACGCGCCGGCCCAGGACGGCAGCGGTATCCACTGTTGCGGCGGAGGAAATGTGGGTGCCAGCGCTGACGGTGGTAAGGGGTCCGATGAGGACGGAGTTTTCTAGGGTTGTCGTCGTCGTTGCTGTTGTTGTTGGTGGTGGTGGTGGTGCTATGGTGAAGGATCCGGTGTCTATTGCGGCTGCGGTTGGTGAGGTTGGCGAAGTTTGCGGCCCGCCAATTACGGATTTTTCGCCTATGATGCAGCCGCTTCCGATTTTAATGGGTCCCTCGAAGGAGAGGAATTTGGTTCGCGGGTGTATTACGGTGCCTGCACCGATGGAGATGGGGTGGATGCCCTGGAAGCTGGCGGATTCGGAGATGGTTGTGGAAGGATGCGCGGTTACCGGGGGTTTGTAGCTTGGGGTGGAGGGTTTGTGGGAGGAGGAGGAGTGGCGGGAGGAAGAGGGTTTGAGGTGAGCTGGGTTTGTGGACATAATTGCTGCTGTGTAGTCTTGTTATGGCAAGGGATAATGGTTTGAAAAATCGTGAATCTGGGCGATGTCTGTTGTTCTGGCGTTGATTGAAGTTGTTGTCTCTTATCGATAACGAGTGTGCAGACGGGCTACGTCAGATAGTTATACAAGTTGAAAGGGCTTCTCTAATGGGATATCTAAATATATATCATCCTAACTCTATCCTATCTGTCTAATAGCCTGCTATTCGACTTCTGCTCCTTGTCCTTTATCCGCACCTGTAGTAATATTCATCCTCTTCCTCCAGTCCCAGACACCGCGATCTACCTCCTCGCGCGTCATCCCATCCCGCACCAGACAGAACGAAACCCCCAATTCCGTCTGCACATTTCGATTCCTAGCCTCGTCGTCAAAAAACAACATATCCTCATACCGTATGCCACTCGCCTGCTGTATTCGTGTGAAATGCTGCGCCTTATCCCCAGGGAAAATCTGAATGTAGTCAAAAAAGTCCAGGGCGCGGACGGAGCGATTGTTTGCTGCCGCCGGGTTATCCGAGAAGGACGGGATGATGTATAGTGTTTTAAGCATATCTCGAGCGAGGTCTGGGGCGTGAGTCCTCGATGCAAGGCCTAAGGGTATAGATCGCGAGCGGCATGCGTGTAGGATGGAGGATACGGCGGGGTAAAATGCGAAAGATTCACCCCACCTATATATACCCAACACCGAAATCAAAGAACAAAAAAAGGTCAGTCGCAAGTAGGATGACTATAGTTATATCTCATTCATCTACAAAGTACAGCAGGTATAGTCACGTTCAATCTGTGACGGTGACGGCGAGCGGGAAACAGAGCGTGAAAAGAAGAAGGAAGACATTAAAAAGGGCCGGCCAGCCATACCTATCCACGCATCGCGAATTATTGTCCTTTGCTTTCAGCGGCGGACTAACGTGTGTGTCGACCCAAAACGGCCACAAGGTATAATCCAGATCAAAAACAAAGAGTTTAGGCAACGGGAGCCCGTCATTGAAGGTCGATGGCGCAACCGTAGGATCTTCGAGGGCTGGCTGGGCTTTTGCTTCTGAGCCGCCGCCTTTTGTTCTGGCCATTTGCGTGGCCTGAGTGTATTATCAAGACAAAATATCAACGGCGTGTGAAGAACCTGGCCCCTACAAACGAGATGGGAGGAAACTAATGATAAGGTCTAGGATGGGATAGTTACTGTAAACCCTCTCTCAACGTGAGTTTCGCAATGCCGCCGGCGTCTGTAGCCGAACCCAAGCGAGCCGTACGTTCTGTCACGAAGAAGAGTAGGATCGTGGAAATCATGTCATTTTTTTAATTATGATAAATAGTTAGCTATATAAAACTAGTTTCTGTATAATTGCTAAAATGCAGTTCCTAATAAAAAAAACCAACAGCTAGAAAATAAAATAAAAAAAATGTATCTGGGTATATATAAATATGCCATGCCACAAGTCAGTTATAATATCATATCGTATCTCATCACGCCTGATAAAATAGCGAAAAACATAGTTGTCGATTCCATGCTAAACAAGCAATCAGTTGTTCCACATTCCCCTCTCTCCATTTGCTTCTATCTTCACATCAACACAGTAAAAATGACCTAGCGTCCTTTTCCCCCGTCCCTAAAAGAATTCTACAAATTCTTTAAACTCTTCCAAGAGCGACATATCGACCGCCTCCCACCCGGTCGGGCTGCCACTGCCATTTTCTAAGCTCCGGCCCTCCTCTGTGTTATCCTTAGCGGATGGGTTATCGACGATATCAGGGAAATGGTCTAAAGTGGTGGCTGTGGTGAGAGGACGAGGGGAACCGGCTGTTGTACCGCCAGTTTCCGCAGCGTTATTCTTGCGCCTTTTCTTCGAGGTGGTATTTTCGGTGTCGTAGCCATAGTCGCCATCGCTGATCATGGGGTCATTGACTACTACGGAACCGTAGGGACGTTTGATACATGATGAGGATGGGAGGGTGTTTTCCTTGTTGTAGGGATTATGATTAATGATGAGATCGTTAGAATCAGGAGCGTTGTTGTCGAGGGCGGTAAAATTGAATTCATGTAATGGGAATAAGGTGGTGGTCGAAGTGCGTTCAGTAGAAATAGAGTCGTTTGTTCGAAGTGTAGCTGGCTTCGTTGTTGACGACGATAGGAAGGAATCATATGTGCTCGAGTCCTTCTCTGGACGTAACGTGGGTTTGTCACTGATATCATCGACAAAATATGTCTTGCTATCCGCTTTCATCAGAGCTAGGGGAGAAATTGTATCGTCCCTGCAGTCTCCGTCATCAAGCTCATGGAACGGGATATCTTCGTTATCTACGAATATGTCAACACCTGCATTCGTTGCTTTTTTTTCCCCTTTCTTCAGGCAGGAGAGCAATAAAGTATTGGGGGACGGAAGATCTTCATCAATCCACGAAGTTCCGTAATCGCTGGAATATTCTTTTCTTCCGAAGGGTGTTTCTGGTTCCTGAAATTCACACTCGTCGAGAAACGACAGGCCTAATGGGCTATGTTTAGAGAGCGGATATGATGTGGGTGTTGACATTTTGCTGCTCGATCCCCCCTTTCTTATACTATCGTCGATACGGCACTGTTTCCGGGCTCTTGTGTCTTTCTTAGAACGGGTGGTAGTGGTAATCGTATCAGGCTTGCAACCTATATCGCTGTCGTCGCATAGGTCAACAAATTCAACTTCCTCCTTTTGCTCGTACTTTCTGCCCTTCTGCTTCGAAGGACCCTGGGATTTTGTCCACTTAGAGATGTCCCAGGATGCTTTCGAAGTAGTAGTAGCCTTCGTTGGGCCGTTAGATGCGGGCTCCTGTTTCCTGCTCGGCTTTGGCGGCCGATCGGTTCCATCCCGACAACACAAGTGCTTACAACTATATACAACTTAGTATATATGTCGAACAGGATGTGTATTCCCAGTATATATAAGTATACTCACCTGGTTTTGTCCTTACAGCGATGATTACAAGCCCAATTCCCATTCTCAAGTCTAACTGGCTCGATAGTCTTGACCGTATGTATGTCCTTGGTGTCTTTACCGGATGCTGCTTTCCGGTGGGCAACCGATGCTGTCCGTACCTGATCGTCGTTTCCATCCACCTCATTTATCGAATGATAATCCATATCTTCAGCTGCAAAGCGCACGGTCAGAATCAAAAATACATTGCAGCTTAATATATCAGAGGCGTACCTGCAGCAATCAGATCCACGTCGTCAAGACCGTCATCTTCGAACTCATCCATATCTCTCCGGCTTGCTAGCCCCTTTTTGGATATATCTTTGCTACGGCTCCTCGATGTGTTCATCGCGGGTTTCGACTCGCTTTTATTATCAGGGGGCTCCGTTTTCTGCGCTGGGAAATGTGAAGCTGGGATATCATGCCTCAACTCTGCCTGTCGCAATGTTCCCGCTGAAAAATGTTAAAAATGTGGAAAACGAAAGGGGGGAGGAAAGGAAACTTAGTCGCTGCAATACCAATGTCATCACACATAACGAAGCATGATATATACTGATAGACATCGGTCAATTGGGCGCTAAGGAAAATGTCATGGCCGTTCTGCAATTTGGTTGCACTTCATGGAGTCAATTAGCTACTGGATATGCAGGCTCTTGCGAGCAGGATTTTGTGAGAAAGTACCTTATACGCCTGAAATCTATCATTCGCCCATCCGATGTCTCTGCAAGGAAACAGACATATACGGGTTTCCGACGGAAGAAAGTAGGGGGCTTTTCATTAATAAACCCGATCTCTGCTTTGAAACCGACCCGTACTGATTTCCTAGGTTTGATATCCTTTGCCCCTAACGGTTAGCAGGTACACAAATAGATTTTTATCCTTTTCCCAAACCCGATCTAGTGTCCTCACCTTCCGCATTAGTTTGACCGAGACTCTGGTTTTCGGAAATTCCGCAACCCTCGCCAGAATTCTTGAGCCAAAGGGCGGATGCTTGCTCAACAGCATATCTATCCGATGTGGCTCCGTCGCCTCGATAGCCTCAATACTATTAATGCCAGCATTTGCAAGTTTCCTAACAGCCACGATACCAATTTGCTCAATCTGTTTCATCTGCCATGCGGAGTGGTCCCAAACTCTGGCACCTATACTCCGCGCAAGCTCAAGGGCATGCCTTGTGCTCACCGAGTCTTGGAGGGATATCTGGCAATCGGTTATGCATCGAATAAGCCGACTTACGTGGGAGAATACTAGTCCCTTATCTTGCTGGAACGATAACTTGTGCTTTTGATACTGATCGCCGATGGGGATGTCGACGCTGCCCAGCTCAGACTGAATAAGTAGAGATATTTTATGCGCTGGTAGGGCGATGTCAATTTTTATAGGGAACTTGATGCCGTTTCCCTTATTCAGTTCCTTATACAACGACTTTTCGCCAGCCTTTAACCTAATTTCTCGAAACTCATCGGCCTGTGTGAGGACAGAGAGCTATCCAATGAGAAACGTTTAGCTGCGATTAAATTAGCTAAGGAGGAGATAAGACAACTTACAATCTCAGACATCTTCGCCTTGGGCGGCAAGGAGAGAAACAATCTCATAGTTTCGAACTTGACGTAATACCGAGCCATCGCATCCCCAAACTCCGTCGATCTCAGGGGTTCCTCTGGAGTGACGAGAGAGCATTCTTGCAGGCGTTTAATATTCTCCTCACAGACTTCCTTCAACATCTCTTCTTCGTCTGACCTATTTGCTCCTTCTTTTAATTTATAGTGAGCAGGATTTTTCCTGAGACGAATAAAGAAAAAAGTCCCGGTAAGCCACCTCACAGCAGACTCAACGCCTGTAACTGTTCCAAGGCCTATTTCCGCGTTCAGGTGGTCGATCAGATTTAGATGCAAACAGCTTTCTAGAGGCTCCGTTCCAGCAACAAGTTTCTCATAATGATTTACCCTTTCCTTCCTTGTTAAAATGACTGCAACTGCACTGTCGTCAAACTGAGGTCTTCCCGCCCGCCCAAGCATCTGCATCATCTCTAGGTCTGGATACTCCTTGCAGCAATTATCTTGCCAAGAAACCGTGTTTTTGATAATCACGAGATGACAGGGAAGGTTTACACCGACCGCCAATGTCGATGTACAGCAAATCACGTTGATTTGTCCAGAAAGAAATCCGCTTTCGACGGCGTGGCGGTCACTAGCATCGAGGCCAGCATGGTGAAATGCAACACCAGTGGAAATGGTTGCTTAGATTTATCAGAATATTAATCCATCTAAAAGATAGCGTAACAAAAGGAAGATGTCCCAATATACATACCTCTCAATTCAGGATTTTGAACTACAACAGGTTTTGTTGGACCACTCCATAGGCGACGAGGCGGATTCGTGGATGTCCATAGCTTGCCCAAGTACTTTGATGTTGCGATCGCAGAGTTTCGAGTACAGCAAAATATCATAATTGGCTTTTTCTTCGAATGTTTCTCCATGACTTCAGGGAGTCTAAATTCTCAAATCAGTCACTGAAGAGAACGGAGTCAAGGAGGTGGGTATGGAAAGCTATTTACGTGCCTCCCCTCACAGGCTTTATCAAAAGCGAAATCATTTCCATTTCCTTGATAACCATAGACGAACTTCTGCAGCTTGACTGGTCTGAACTCTTCACCAAACCTTTCACGGTGAGCAGGGAGATGCTGGCTAGTGGGATCCTTACCCAGCCAAGCCCCAATGTCCTCAGAGTTTGGGACAGTGGCACTGAGCGCAACGAATCGGACATTGGAATCGACAGATTTCATTCGAGACACCACGGCTTCCAGTGTGGCTCCCCTAGTCTCTTTCAGAATGTGAACCTCATCGATGAGAAACAGCTTCACGAGTTGCATTAGTTTAATATGATCCTTCCATTTCCTTGTCATGCTATCCCATTTTTCAGGTGTTGTAATGACGATATTGGCATTTTGAACGTTGCGTAGCTGTGCGTGGTCAGTATCACCAGTAAGTTCCGCACATTGGAGGTCCAAGGAGGAGAACTTGGTTTGCCAGTCACGGAATCTTTCCGAGCACAAAGACTTGGTAGGTGCCTGATAAACCACCTTGAACCGGCAGTCCTTGACGTTTGTCACCAGTCGGCAGATAGCCAGTTCCATAACTGCAGTTTTGCCACTTCCAGTAGGGGCCGAGAGGACAAAGTTATCGTCTCCTTGGTAGATTGGACGAAAGCATTTGGACTGTATAGCATTAAAAACAGGGAAAGAGAAAATAGAACGGAACCGATCTGGCAGCTCATGGGTAGACACAAGTCGGATCCCCTGTATTATGGGCGGTGCATGATTAAGTTGGATTCCACTAGATTTAAGAGGCGATGATGAAATGGCAGCTCCGTTCCGCGATCCTTGGGAGGAGATTGTATTGGCAGATAATTGGGACTGGTTAGGTTCGTCATCATCATTTTGGACATCCCTGGAAAATAATGGTGGTCTCTTTCGGGCCCTTACCGCGAGCGACGGGCTTGAAAAAGGACCAATATCAGTGGAGCTAGAGATATCCCCGCGGGCAGGAGTATCCATTGCAGTTGCACCTAGATCGTCAGTAATGAATGCAGACGCACACACGCCTACCATCACAGAAACATTTCAAGACAGAGGCGAAGGAAAGAAAAGTTCCCTACTGCACTGAAAAAATCTCGAGCTATTTTGCTGCCGCCCTGGGCCTAACGTGGGGCCGTATAAATCAGCCGATTCTTCATCCCGGACATAAGTTTCGGAACGGTCTTGATTTTGCTCTTTCTCGGTTTCCAGCTGAGCCAATAGCTCGCGATCTTCAACAGACAACATCCCTTAGCCATTATTATTTATAGAGCGTAGGTAGCAGAAATAACCAGCCTGTAATAGCAAGCAAAAACAGGGGAGGTAGGGATTCCCAACCAAACGCATCGAATGGCAAATCCCTATCCTGATCACATAAACCCAGCTCCCTCCCACTTGAAAAGCCCAGACGTCGTGGTAGATGTTGAGTTCGCCTAGGAAAAGCTTGAGAACCAATAGTAGTAGCACGACTATTGTTATCGTTGCCATCACGGCTAACCACGGTCGACTTAGCTTGTCCCCTCTTCCATTTCGAATTCGGCAGAGGCACAGTAAACGGTTTGAAAGATGGCGCGGATGAAGGGGAAGGGGAAGAAATAGACGATGAAGAAGAGGCCGAAGCAGCGGGACTTTTGAAAGTACTTAGAAGGCGGCGGAAGGTAGTTGTGTCTCGCTTCGGATTATCCATTCTTATACAGGAAAGCCACTACCGTTCCGTGCCGCTGATGAAACGAAGACTTCAAAGTCAATTTACATGGCATAGAAATGACAGGGCATCATAGGAAAACAAAGCAGCCGAGCAAGAGAAAAGCGGAGATGACTTCCTACACTGTCAAGTCGTTCAGGAATGATTGCGAAGACGATCAGGGGGTATATGTGTTAACTACCAAGGATATACACCGTCTGCATAGACACAGAATGCCAAATAAATCAGAAATATGCCAATTCACTACCACGACTCACTCTAACCACAATATGCTAAAAAAGGAAAAGGCGGTAAGCAGTGACAACTGGCAAGTTGTTGATATAGGATCAGAAAGATAAAAGTTGAGGTTGGAATAAAGATGGGAGATAAAAAGGGGCTGAAAATCACATGACCTGTCTCCTTGGATGCCATGCCAAAACGGAAGGTGGACCTAATACTCCGTACCACGTTTAAAGTACTCCGTAGTCTCCCCGAATCAAGAATCGCAGGTCCTGTGCAAAACATATCATGAATCGGCTGATTAGGCTGATCTGAGGGAGAAAAAAAATGAGCGAAAACAAATATGTATAAAAAGGTCCTGCAACATCAAAGTGTGCCTGCTCTGAGATGCTCTGAGATGCTCTGAGATGCGCAGCGTTTAAAACAAACACCTACAAATCGTTTTTATGGAAAAAGTAAATTTCTTTAGGGAAGGAAAAAACTGAAAATGAAAAAAAAAAGAAAAGAAAAGAAAAGAAAAAAGTGAAAAAAGTGAAAAAGATGGAAAAGAAGAGGGAAAAAAAAAAAACAAAAAAAAAAAAAAAAAAAAAACAACCCTATCCCATCTATCCCTCGCAGAAACCAGACCCTGAGAGTTCCCGACTTGTATATAATTTAACGCACCGAACCACATCTTCTATCTTCTACTCTCCCCTCCCGCTCACTACCTCTGAGTGTAACCGCAGGGAATCGAAAAGACAGGTAGGAAAGAGAAGAAATAAAAGAAAATAATAATAATAATAATAATAATAAATTAATAATCCCCCTCTAACCCCCCCTCTGCGCAAAATACGACCCTTTCAACCTAGTATGGTTCGGCGAGCCCGGTCTCGACGTCGTCAGTGCCGCCGACTCAGACAAACCGGGAGTTGTGGGCAGTTTTATGGAAAAGTCGTTGGACGGGGTGAGGTGGGAGTATTCGGCATTGGCATGATTGAGGGTGGTGGTGGTGGAATTATTATTATTCCTACCTGCGTCTGCTGCTGATGAGGCGCTGGTGGTGCTGGTGGTGCTGGTGACCATGCCTAGGCCGCTGAGCTTTTCAAAGTTGTTGATGCGGATAGGTGGGGGCCGGTTGTTGCTTTTCGGGGGGGTGCGGGGGGTGCTTGGGTGTGGGAGTTGGTTGTAGATGTAAGTGCCTGCGAGGACGAGGATGGTGCCGATGATGAACTATATTTTTTTTTCGCGTTTGGTTTTGGGTTTTGCGGTTAGTATAATAATAAATAGTATGTGGGAAAAGCGAAAAGGAAAAGTTGTTAAACGCCCCCAGATCAGGGAGAATTATTAGATACGTATATAGGAGGGAGGCGGCCACTCACATTCCCACTCGCCCTAAACTCAAACGCCCACATCGCCCCAACAGCGCTTAGCACAATACTAATCCCAGTCGCTGAATTCCGCAAGCCATGTTCTCCGCGCGAAATGCAATACGACGTCGCAATGCCGCCCCCGGCCTGCAGGCCAATAACCAGCCACACAACCCAATTGTAGCCACCAAAGAATCCAGCGCGCGCCACCTTCTCGCCGTCCAGGAACACCACGCCGATAAACAACGAGGGGAATATCGAATAGACGGCCAGCTGCACGTTGCGGATCCATACAGACGTGGTAGACGTGGCGCTGTCCTTCAGTACTTTTTCGAAGGTCACGCCCGCCAAGCCAGACGCGATGCATGCGCCAATGGTAGCCAGCAGGCCAATGTTCCCATTCATGTGCGGGAAGCCCAGCATCAGATCCTCCTCGATGCCTTCGTAGGTGGCGGAGCGCTTGTGCGGCTGCTGATGCACATTGCGGCGCGTCGTCGAGGCACCGAGGTTCTGCCATTCTTCCAGCGAGCGGGGGAAACGGACGCGCGTGCGGTGATCGTGCATATCATTTGGGTCCGTGTGTGGTAGCTGGACGATAAAGACGCCCGCGATTAGTAGGAACAGCGCTGTCCATTTCCCAAAGGATAAACTCCGCCTGAGCAACGTGGCGCCGAAGATTGCCGCTGTGGCTAGCTTCAATTGGTATGTGACCTGGAAGGTGGCGGCTTCGAGGTTGGAGAGCCCGATGTACACCAGGGAGTTTGATAGAGTATACAACCCTGCCGGAACAGCTAGTTTCCAGCTATCGCCAGTAAAAACCGCGGCAGATAGGTTGGTGAAGAGTGAAGTCGCGGGCATGGAGGGTGGCACGGTCTTGGAGACCTCGTAGAGCGCCGCGGTTAGGCAGACTGCTAGTTTTATAACCTCATTGAGGAACACCGCAGTTGAGGAGAGGTATCGCCGGCCGCCAACGACGGGCATTACTCTGGAGTAATGGAGGAGCTGGGTTTCACAAACTCGCGTGACGCAGTGACGGTTAGTTCAGCCAATTCCATCTTGCATGGATTGTCTATCCCGTGAGGTATTTGGGGGTGGGTATGGTTAGAGAGCTGGAGGAGCTAAAGAGCAGAGAAGGCAAAATATTGCATACTAATGTGAAAGTTGTGTACTGAATCGTTAACTGCAGGTCGGAAGAGAGTGCTTAAGTTAGCAATGCACGAAATCACAACACTCTCATACACCACCGGCGCAGGCAGGCCAAAAATAATAGTAAGGATCATTGGGGGGGTAAATCTTCGTCCGTACCAAAACCAAGGAAATCCGTCTCCCTAGAATCCCCATCCAGCCAGCGGCCGCCCTTGAGTCCCTTCTCATTGTGACGCGTAGTTGGGATGAGCGAACCTCGTTCTCGAGGAGGGGAATATCTTTATTTTCTCGTGGCAGGCTCGCGATATATCGGCGGGAGTATGTTCACGGACTTGATTGACTTGACAGGGAGGCAAAGGTTGCAAAATCGAGAAGAAAAATTGAAACGTGGAATAGTTAAAAAGAGTCAAGAAAGGGTTGTTGCAGTTGATGCAAAAAAAGAAAAAGAAAAAAGAAAAAACCAGGAATTGAGCTGCTAGCTGTCCATCGTCCAGGCGCCGACGACAAGGAAAAAGCAAATAATAATCAAGAAAGCAAAGATCGCGAGCCCAGGAGAAGATTTAGTGCGATCCGCCCGTCTGTTTGTTAGGCGCTTCGTCAGGCACAAGGGCGGCTGGCTTTAACGAGTTGCCAAATACAAAGTACACGGTAAAGTTTCCCAGGCTGTTGTTGAACAAAGGAAGTAAGTTAAGCGGCAGTTATAGGATAGGTTAATAAATAACAACAGCAACTCAACAAGGAAAAGCCGTCAAAAGACGGTGAATAATATATAACTATATATCTAGGTTCTTAAGGTATGAGAATAAACAGCAGATTACTATACGGAGTACTGACAGTCACAAGAGGGCCAGTTAACTAACAAAGCGTCACACGATCTGACACACGATGCGATGCGATGCGGGAGAGCGGAGATATATAGACTCGATAAGTTAGTTATATCTCTAATAATAACTAACTAATAACTAAACTAGATAAGTTAATAATAACCCTCCCACGAACCCATTTTCCATTTTCCCACGAAACAAACCATCTCAACCTACCCTACCTCGACGACCCCCGATGGTCTGTGTCTGCCTTTCATTCCAGTTATTTTTACTCTCTCTCTCTGAGATCTCTCCTACTCCTAGATAGATACAACATGGCATGGGCTACCAGCCGCATTATTACAGCGTTCCTGTGCAGGCAGGCCCATTATGATCATATTATCTCGTTTCCCAACAAGCGCCACCGCACCCTGAAGCCCCTCCCCTCCCCCCCTCCGCCCGCCAAGGAGGCCCCAAGAACAACTTACAACAAACAACATCATCCAATCTTGAAACAACTCCTGCCCCCCCCCTTCACTAAACCAACCTGGCTGACCTGACCGCTTTCTGCAACAGGGGCCATGTGTTTGTTGTAAATGTGGTGTTTTTGTGTTTTGTGTTTTGTTGGGTTTGCATGTGTGACGGGGAAGGGCTCCTCCCTTCCCTCTACGCTGTAGCTACCACCCACCCACCCACCCACCTTCTATTCTAACAAATACGCCTTGGGTAGAGTTATAAATAATGGATCAACTACGGAGTACTCCGTACCTGACCTAGAGCTAAATAACCGTAAGTCACATACTGTTAAGTCACATACTGTAACATTATACACAGCCCACCCACATGCTGATAATAAAAAATAAAAAAATAAGGAAAAATAAATAGTATGATTACATAGATCTATCCTTATGTATATATATTCCCCCTCCTCTTTTCTTTTCCGGCCCGCAGATAGAGATGGGATATACACCTGTAAAAAAAAAGTAGTAGAAGAAGAAGAAGAAAAAAGGAAAAGGAAAAGGAAAAGGAAAGGCCCCGCTCCCCTATTCTGTTATTACATCGTGCTGTATGGGAGTGAAATGTAGTAAAAGGAAAAACATGATGGGTCGTATCGAGTGAATATGTGTATATGTAGACGGGTTGTGTATGTTGGATAGACAAAGGAAAAGAAAGATAAAAACAAAAGGGGGGGAATATCATAGAAACTAAAAGAAATGGAAAATACGAATGGGGTTGTAGAGAGAAACAGAAAATATGGACGCAGGATAAAGGGCAGGAGTGATAAAGGGCGGGATAAACAAAACTGACGGAAACTGAACAGATCCATTCGTTAACGGCTTCCTTTCTGCAACGGAATATAGGCCCCGAATGATTCGAAAAGAAAAGTCGATAGGAAAAATAAATCCGGATATAGATCATGCAGTCAAAATGCGAATGAAACCCATCCAACGACACAACAAAATAATAATATATGGCGCTCCAAAATATATAAATGGTAAGGGGTTCGTTCGGGGTGAAGAGAGAAAAAAAAATCAATAAATCCGCAGAGAGAAAATATATATATATGCATATATACACACGTATATATTTATCAATGCACAACCGCCAACCCAGGCGTCTCCGAACTCCACCCAAGCGCCCAGATGGGTAATTCCGTGTCATCCACCGCGACGGCCGCGGCTTTGGCGCTGGTGCTGGTGCTGGTGCTGACGGCGTCCCTGACACCCTCCTCCCCATCCCCATCCCCATCCCCGTCTCCAAACACCATCGCGCTACTACTATCCGTCCTCGTGCGCGAGTGTCGCTTCGTCTCCTCTATCGGGAGCACCACGTCTGCGTCCAGAGCGGCGGTCTTGGGCGCAGTCGTTGGAGTGGCAGCGGTGACGGACGGTAGAGGTGAAGGAGGGGATAATAACGGCGAATCGGGTGAGGGGGGATGAGGAGAGCGGTGATGGCGTCGATGATGTGGATAGGGGGAAATGGTAGTCCTATAGGTGGGTAGGAGGATAGAGGTTGTGGATGCATCAGCATTACGTGGTGCTGGTGGAGCGGGCTTCCGCTACTGCCGTTGCGGTTACCGCCGCTTGGGCTGGTAAGTTCTCGAGGCTGTGGCTGTTGACTATGCAGTTGATAGTGCTTCTGTGGCTGTTGCTGTTGTTGTTGATGTGGTGATTGCGGGGGGTTATACTGTGGTGTGCGCGGCGAAGTCCAGCTTGCTGAAGGTGAGGGAAACGTGTCTGAGTGCACAAGGCTGACACGCGGTGAGGGGTTGGAGTGATGGTCGCCACCGCTGTCTGAGACTGACAGGGCATGGTGGGAGCGGGAGCTGTCGCTTCCGGCGGCGGAGGTACTGCCCGCGACTTTGCCGCTGGTTGGTGGGAGGCCGGGGCTCAGTGCTAGGAAGGATGTGTCGCCAATACTCCCGCCCCCGTATTGACTAGAGGGAGGACGGTCGGTGGAAGGAGTTGGGGACTTTCGGAATGTGCTAGTGGTTGCAGTCGTCGAGAATGTGGTTGGCATTGGGTTGAAGAAAGAGGTTCCGGGGTTGGGGAGGTCAATGAGCGGGAAGTTGGGCGGCATGTTCCCGCCGTGCTGTCTTATGACTTCGAGAAGCTCTTCTTCCTGTCTAGTCACAGCAATGACACGGCTGCGCCGGTTCATGGCTTTGATACTATTCTGGGTGCTGGGGACGGGCAGTTGGAAATCGAAGGGTAAAAGGTTGGGGTTAGCTGTAGTCGAGGGCACAGGGGAGGGGGATGTGGAGGGGCGGAACTTGGGGGGGCTGTCTGGCTCCGAGATGGTGGGGATGCCATTCGAAGGGCGGTAGCTTGGGGTTCTAACGTTGGAGGAGGTTGAGTGGCCGCGCGAAATTCGCGGAGGGGGAAGGCTCGTGTTTCGGACTCTAGGCACAGAAGAACCGCGAGAGGCGGAAACGGCTTTCGCTATGAAAATTTCGGCCACCCCTTCATCGAATGTGGCGATGCTATCACGAATAGCACGTTGCTGGACAGGCTTATTATATACCTCCATTTCATCCTCGTCAGCCTCATCTTCTGAAGACGAAAGACACAACACACTAGACTCGTTAAGGTCTGATTTATTTAAAGTGATCTTGCTACTTTTCCTGGACAAACCCCCAAAGGCGATAGCCGGTGATCCCACACTAGGTGGAGTGGGGCTGTTAAGATCCCAGTCATGGAAAAGGGTATGGAATCTGGTGGTTGCAGGGTTGAATAAGGGGCTAGTGTTGCTATGGAGTTCGGGGGTGGCTTCCTTCGCAGGTTCGGGAACGGGAGAGAGTATTAGCGTTCGGCTTGAGGCTCTTGACGTTCCGCTCATGGCATTTGAATGCACGCTAACCCGATTACCGCTGCCACGGGAATAGGCAGACTCCCGATACGTTGACTGGGGTACAGATTGCGGGTTTTGGATACCATATTGGGTGGGCTCGTCGGCTTCGGCATTATCATCGTAGCCACCACCCTCATTATCATCACTAAAGTGTCCAGCCGGTCCATCAAACCAGTCGACAGATGGTTTCCTTTGTTGCCTCGCGCGCTTCTCGTGGAATGGGAATTGGTAATGTTGCGACTGTAACTCCTCTTGCCGCTGTTGCTTTAGTTGCCGTTGCTGCAGTTCCTGCTGTTGCTCCTCCTCCTGTTGTTTTGGTTCTTGCTTCCTGCGTCGTTGATACTGGTCTGGTTCCTCCTTTCTCTTCTTATGTTCCTCTCTCCTTTGTTTCTCACGATTCTGGCGCTGGAAATGCTCCTCCTTTTCCTGTTGCATCTGTTCCTGCTTCCTTTGCTGCTGTTCCCGTTCAAGCTTCTCCCGTTGCTTCCGTTCTCGGTCCTTTTGCTCTTGTTTCAGGCGTTGGTGAAGCTGCTCCTCTTCCTGTTGCTTCTGCCTCTGCTGCTCTTCCTCACGCCGTTTTCTCTCTCGTCTACCCCACTGGAAGAAGCGTTCTTTCTCCTTTTTCACCGGCTGCTGCTGGTAAGAGATACGGGAGAGTTGTGGGGTTGGGAGCTGTGACGATTGAGAATGATGCTGTTGTTGTTGCTGTTGTTGTTGCTGTTGTTGTTGCTGTTGTTGTTGCTGTTGTTGTTGCTGTTGTTGTTGCTGTTGTTGTTGCTGTTGTTGTTGCTGTTGTTGTCCGTCATAAAGACTAGGAGAATAATTACTCGGCGGGAAAGCCGGCGACGGCTCGGAAGGTTGCCGTCCCTGTTGCTGTTGCTGCAGCTGCTGCTGTTCGTACTGCATGCGAAGAGCAGAAAGTTCCTTACTACTAGGTGGCTTGGTCAATTTATTCACTGTCTGATATATGCTGCCAAGTCTCCGCTGCTGTGCACCGAACGACGAGGCATCTGACAGTAGGGAAACGGGTGATGGCGACATTGTCATCCGGTGGGGGGATAATAGCGGCACGTCACGCTGGACAGAAGGATCGCTGGGTTTGGGAAAGAGCTTCGACAGGTCAATCATCAGGGGGCGATGTTTGGGTTTTGACGATGACGATGACGATGGCGATGAAGACGCCGACTTCTCCTTCTGATCTTGCGGGTATCGCTGCGAGGGGTCCCCGTTGTTTGTCGAATTGGGCTCGGTCGACGAATTGGAAGAATAGGCGTTGCTTCGAAAAGCCAGATCCCTGGAGGGAACCGATGCCGGTGTTTGTTTTTGAGCGTTGTTGGGCGCCTGGGTCTGCGTTTGGATATGCGCCGGTGCCTGCGCCTGCTGTGGAACAACCGAAGGCGGTTTCAAAGGATCATGAGATGAAAGGGTAGTCGAAGATGAGTCGGTCTGGCGCAGGGTGGGGTGAGCCTTTGCATGAAAGGACGGAAGCGGCTCGTGAGGACGGGTTTGATAACGGACGCCCAAGAGGGGCGACGACGCCCTTGGGCGCAATTGTCTCTGCGGGATGACACCTGTCCCTGCGGTTCCAATATTCAGATTTCCATTAATTGCTTCTCCCGTTCTTCCACCGCTGTTGGTCAGTGAGGGAGACGGTGGTATTTCAACCTGTCTTGCTGTCCGCACTGTCTTGCTGAACTTGGTCAGAAAGTCATGATCAACAATAATGTTGTTGTTTGCGGTATATCGATGGCGATCTGGTGGATGCTGGGCGCTGAGCCTATCAAGGCCGGGAAGAGGAGGTATGTTGGATTGGCGAGGGAGTAGTTTGTCGGTTGGCGAAGGTGAGAGACTGGATAAGCGATGAGGCACTGGCGGTTGGTGTTGGGCCATACTATACTCCTCCTCCCCCTCCCCTCGTCTTGGTTGCGGCCAGGGATTCTTTTCTTTTTCCAGTTAAGTGGTTGATGCCGAGACAGGCGGCCCCCGTCTGCTGTCGTTCAGGAAAAAAGGTAATGAATGGATAGAGTCAAGAGGGAGAGACGCGCTTGCAGACGAGACGGACGTAGCAAAGTCTTCTTCTTTCCTTTTTTCTTTTCCCTTTTCCTCTCTCTTTTTTTTTATTTTTTGAATATATATTTTTTTTAATAAAAAGGGAAAAAAAAATATGATTAAATCGATCGTCTCTGATTCTGACCGCTAGTTAAGAATGGAGGAGACCGTCATATCCGACCATTGACCATTCCAATTATGGGGCACGCCCAGTAGAGGCAGAAAGGAACGACGATAAAAGCGTACAACAAAAAGAACGCACTGACAGGCGTCGTAAAAATAATAAAGAAGGTAAAAAATAAAAAGAAAAGTCTCCGACCGGCGAAAAGATCGTAGTTATTATTATTATTATTTTAACTGGGTTCCCGTCCGTAGTTACCCCATACGATGCGTTTTGGCGTTCGGAAGTTGGACTGTTTTCCCACACTACGACTACTACAGAGTACTACTACTACTACGTACTTCAAGTACAAGTACAATGTACCACAGGACTGGGACCCAAGGGGATCCACGCGAGACGATTCGGGCGAACCAGATAGCAGGGCGAGGTCATGCAAGGAAAAATATAACCATCAACTGGCGGCAACGTGGGGAGGGAGGGAGGGAGGGGGAGCCTAGCTGCGGGAAGATGTGTGGGTTGGGGTGGCACAGCGAGTAACCGTCCATCAATAATAATAATACGGAGTAGTGAGGATGAGGATAGCACAGGATGATGGTGAAGGACAAGAAGAACGACATTAGGCTGGCTACGCTGGGTAGGATGTATGTATATGTACAAGTACAATGTACATGTACGGAGTACGCTGTACGGAGTACATGAACATACAAAAGAACAGGAGAGGAGGGGATGATGACAGATGGCCACTACGACCGAGGCAGTGGACGATAGTTACTGCGTACTACTAGTTACTGCTACTTACTACGACTACTACTACTACGACTAGGGTAACTAACTATGGTATGGTATTGTAGGCTTGTAGGCTACTGGGGCAAAAGAGCTCAATCACCACCAGCGCACTGCTGGTAGAAGGGCCGACCAACCGCGGGACCCCCAACACCCCCCCTCGGACCAGCTACCACAGAGTACAGTACTTCCCCTCAGTGGCTCCCTTCAGTGGCCTCCCCACAATGGCTCCTTTTTAATAATGGACTGGACCACTCAGTCCTAGGGCTTAATGGGACTTCTAGGGCACACTCCTGGGATGTCTCTTGACACTGTTAAAATGTCCAGGGTATTTGTTAGGAATTTTTAAGTCCATTCTGGGATTGAACCCATGCATGTTGACCACAGCGGGGCTCACGCTCAACGGTCTCATAACCTGTAGGCTACTGGGGCAAAAGAGCTCAATCACCACCAGCGCACTGCTGGTAGAAGGGCCGACCAACCGCGGGACCCCCAACAGGTATGCAGTTGTAACTTATTATTAAGTTATCTCAGCAGGACAGAGACAGAGTAACAGTAACTAACTAATTAATCTGCATGGCCTGCAGCAGCTGTGGGGGACATTGCGAGGTTCTAAGGGAAAAAAAGGATAAATGTTGAATCCCTAATAATAACTCCACCCGAGAACCCAAAAAAGAGGACAAAAAGAAAAAAAGGGAGAGTTAAAATTTAAAAACTAGTTACACTGCGTAAGAATAAAAAAAATAAAAAATAAAAATAAACCCTCAACAGGAAAATAACGAATCGTAACTACGGAGTACACAGTAACCAAACAGGGGCCGGGATTTATCCAATCTCCCCTCCCCTCCTCCCCTCCTCTCCTCCTCTCCTCCTCTCCTCTCCTCTCCATACTGCCGCCTGACGGGTAAATAGCACTGCAACGCCCAACGCCATGCTCATGACAACTCAAACTAACTAACTAATCTGCACGGCGTTAGACAGGTTAATAAATGGTGAAATGGTGAAATAACTACTCCGTACTCTATACTATACTCCGTAACTACTCCCTACCAAGCCAGCTAGCGTCGCCTGGGCCCCATGCTGTGCGTGCTTGCTGCTAGTTCCAGCTTCCACTCTCGGCATCCATGACATACATGAATTGCAGATCAAAGGAGGGGGAGGGAGGGAGGGGGCCAGGCAAATCATCAAGCCTTCAAGCCTGGGCTGCCCCAGATGGCTTCTGCACAAAAATAAATCGATCTTTCAAGCTTCCAGTTCCAGTGCGGATGGATTGCTGCTGTTGTGGTACTGTACATGCATGTACTCCGTACATGTACATAACTTGTCGGTGGCTCGCTTTCGCCTAGTAAGTTAACTTAATAACTTATAAGTGATCCCGCTGAGTTAGTTCGAAAAAAGGGGGGGATTTCAATCAACATGGAGGGAGCCTCAGGGAGGTCTTCTACATTCTAACCAAGTGGAGTGGACAAAACCATCTTATTATTATTATTAGTTAACTACCCCTTCAACCTCCTCCTTGATCTGTAGATGTACTCTGTATATTGTACCCCGTATACGCTGCGTACAGAGTCACTGTTCTCTATCCTATCCTTGCAGGGCCCCCTTGCCATGCAACAGGCGACATTCATCCATCCCATCCCTTCTGAGGCCTCTCTGTACGCTGCCCCTGACTAGCAAAACCAAAGCCAGGAGGAACCTACGGGAACTGCCCCGCCCCATTTATTCCATACTAGCATCCAATCTGTTGTTATCTTTAATATTACTCCATTCATTACCCCATACTTCTAGTCAAGTTATTAGCAACTATTATTTATTATTCTTCGTCTAGCCTGACCTCCTTCTCCTCCGTGTGCCTGTCATTCGGCTTCATTCCTGATAAGGTCATTCAACATTCTTATTATTCATTATGGGGGCGGCTTGCTACTTATTACTATTATTATTACTACTGCTAGCTAGGCCTCCCTGACATGTTTCCCCCCCCCTGTCTTTCCCAAGTCTTCACCAGTGCCGTGCAAGATGAGATGGTCATTATTCATATGTATCTAGCACCCCGTAAAGGGGAATAGGGAATAGGGATAAATGTTTGTTTATATCCGTTTCTATGGACAATAGTCAATGGTCAATGGAGTCTAGACATCCTCGAGAATTGCATACATATAATAGCTAACTAGCTAGCGATGTAGCTCAGTACAATGGTCAAGGAAGGAAAAAACAAAACTAAAAAAAGAAAAGAAAAGAAAAGAAAAGAAAAGAAAGAAGGTCTCTAAAAGCCTCTCTGTCAACCGATCGAGCTTTGTATGCACATCACCTCACCACTGATCACTGATCACTGATCAGTAACTAGTTAACGGTCGAGGGCAAATCGTGGCGCTCGCCAGTCGAGTCGTCTCCAAACAAGTCCGAAAGATGAAAGCCTGAAGAAGGTTCAAGACATGTCAAACTAGTTGAACGCTAGTTAGCTTTGGCGCCGAATTTTCAAGCAGTAACTTAAAATAAGTTAATAATAATAATAATAGTCACCAACATCAATGTGTATTCCAGCCGCCCCTCTTCCTTCCAGTGTTAACTGGTGGTGATTGAGCTCTTTTGTCCCAAGTAGCCAGTAACTTAGCTGACAACAGCACAGTAAAGTGACCCCCTGAGCTTTGAAGCTTGAAGCTTGAAGCTCTCTGATGATGATCCCATCCCAGCAACCATGACACGAACTTTATGATTACTCCTACTGCGAACTCTGTAGAGTAGGTAGATCTACAGACTATCCACAAAATCATCGATGATAATTAATAGTTGATTGTGAGCTCATGCTCAATTCCATCCCATCCGGCTCCCTCCTCATAACTCATCAGCTCGCAGCCGGCTGATCTCTATTTTATATTTCAATCACAACCATCGCGAGCCGAAGTTACATACATACATACATCCATCCATCCATCTGCGGTGGAAGTCAGAACGGTTTATACAGTACAATAAGCAATTCTTCGCGGGAGAATGGATTTAGAGCGGGGAAAACTGATAGTTATATATAAGGCAGGTGTCAAATATATAACTAGGACCATCCCAGACAACCTGCCAACCAGCCAAAGACTGTGTAGATGTAGATGTAGATGTAGATGTACTGTACAAAGGGAACCCCTGTGTCCTCCGTATATAAAGTTATTCATATTAACCCAACCCCCTATGAACTCCCGCCCCGCGCCGAGTACGACACTCTTCTGCAACCCACCCTCATCAGCCGCGACTTCTTGCCCCGCGCTTTTGCCAGCTATCAATCTCACGATAACGATAACGATATATATATACATATATATATGCTTTCTATTTGGGCTGGCCGGTGGTGAGTGGGCTCCTGGGGACTAATTCGAGCGCTTTTGCACTGGTGTACATGTACATGTACATGTACATGGACCTGGGTATTTATATTTATAGAATGATAAAAAGGGGCCCAGGGGGGGCGTGGGGGAAAGCAGCGGAGCGGAACAAGGACAAAACAAACGGGAAATATATCAATAGCACATAACATACACAGCAATATGATTCCATCCATTCCTTTTTCCTTTTTACTTTTTCCTTTTCACATGCCATAAATCATTCAGCAAACACAAGAAAACCCATACACAGTTACTTATGCGCAATCCAATGCAACCACCAGACACACAAGGATTCAGCATTTACGGGTTCCGTAGTGATTAAAAGCGGAGGCAAGACAATTAGTGTTTATCGAAACCGAGCGGGCGGTGAGGAATGTGGCGATTTAATCAAGAGCAAACGCATGCGCCGGAGGTGGAAGGGGGAAATGAATATACACAAACGCAAACGCAAACGCAAACGCAAACAGATACTGTTGAGATTTGCTCGGGACATTTGGTTCTTGCCTAGGGTAGAGAGGACCCCGTTGCATATGTATGTAGATCGGGGAGATCGGGGAATCAAAGGGTTGGCGATAGGTAACTAATAAAACATGCAACAAACCTGGGGGAGAAGTATAGTAGAAAATAAAAAGAAAAGAAAAGAAGAAAGGGGGCGGATGGGGCGGATGGGGGAGACAGATATAAAACAAAGAGCAAAGGTGAAATGCTGCGTCATAAAATCAGCAATAGCAATAGGGGGATGCGTTATATGTATCTCACCCATCAGCTCTCTGCAGTCAATATAGGTCATTACTCTCCACAAGAGAGCAAACAACTCCTTAGCCCTTAACACCCCGACCCGCCCAGATAACATTTGCGCCATAACGATATCCGAACCTCCTGCTAACCCCTTCAAACACTTCCACTAGCACTCCTACTTCCACTCCCACCGTCACCTTCACTCCCACTCCCCATCCCACTCTCACTACTAGGCTCAAAGATACTAATCGGGCTCCCAAGCTTACTCAACCGCACCCTCTTCCGACGATTAGTAGCAGTACCATTCTCCCCATCCGAGCCGCTCGCCATGATTCCCTCGCCGTCATCGTCATCATCGTCAAAGTCATCCACCCACTCAGCCGTACGGGTCTGCTTCTGTCTCCTGGTGAAACCCTGCCACGCATGTCTGTCCCCGCGGTCGCTAGCCGATCCAAACCCAAACCCTGATTCATCACCCATGATACTGCGGTTTGGCTTCCGTTTCTGCGCCTGCGCCTGCGTTTGGGTTTGAGTTTGAGTCTCGGTCTGAGAATCTCCGCTGGGCTGCACCGGCTTTACTGAATCCAAGCTCGATCCGAGCGCCTTCCATGCACTCCGGATCTCATTCACTTCTGGAGTAGGGACCTTGCCGGTTGCATTGGTTGTTCCGCCAATCTTGCTTTTGCGGCGACGTTCTTCGTAACCGGGACTATGCCTTGCGGTTAGTTATTTCATTTTTAAACGCACCAAATGATATGCTGGGCTTTTTCTTTTTCTTTTTCTTTTTCTTTTTCTTTTTTTTTTTTTTTTGGTGTTGGGGGGGGGGGGGGTTGGATGTAGTACTAGCACTATATTACCTGCCAGGGGGAATCTCTTCGATAGATAAAACATCACTGGAAACACCCGATGAGAGTTCGACGCTACGGGCACGCTGGCCCACGCGCCTATTTTGATTATCTGGCAGGTTATACTAACAAACACAATGACGATATAGAAATTAGTGTGCCACTTGCCAGTCAACTGTACCGCAGCCACAGGAGAAGAATAAACATACATGGTGAGTTATTTTCGCGAGCGGGTTAAAGATCTCGTTCCGAAGCCTCTGCTTAACAGCAGTTTCTGTGGAGAGCGTGAACTTCGGAAGCCCCTTCTCTAGGAACCCTTTCGACTTAGATCCAGGGGTGGCGAGCAGAAATCCCTGCTTCCTCAACATATCCGTAATCTGGACAATTGTCTGGCCATTGCAATCTACGTAAAACGAAAGAATTTTCTTTCTTAGCATTGGACTTTTGTCAATGGGGGCTAGCGATAAATAATACATACTCAACTTCTGAGCAAAATCCCGAACTCGATTCGGGTAACCCTCTTCAATAATGACCCGAAGAGCCCGACGCAACAGAACCAGCGTCCGCATATCCTGCACAAGATGCCTTTCTTGCGGTTCAAGAAGACATTTGTAACACGCATGAGTCTCTGGGATGGCTGGATCCTGTGCATGGATGAATCCATAGCAGGTCAAATGCTGCCGAGTTTTGCAGAAAGCGCATTGGAGCTAAATTCGAAGGTGGTGATTAATGATGTTTAGCTTTACATTCTTATTATACACTGAGGATATCAACGTACCATGTCGCGATTCTCTGAATTCGATCCACACTCGCAACGGACCACGTCAGGGTTGATATGACCAGAGTGTCCCTTGTTCTGATCGTAATGAAGTGAAGTTTCACCGGAGAACATCTGGTTCCGCGCTCCTAGCTGGGACAGCTTGACTTGGGAAAGCTGTGGCTTTGCTGTTGCAATTTGGAGGCAGTCGGGATTCCTCTGAGTCGGAATAAAATCGCTGTCAGGGGTTGAAGTTACGGGCTGCAGGATAGATATTTGAAGTTAGCTACCTCAATTTCCAACAGGTACTACCTTATAACTTTTCAAAAACCGTATAATGTAAATACCGGAATCATCTTCTGTAGATCTTTCTTAAAAGCTTCATCTTGGCGGGTCTGGGTCGAAACCTGGCTACTCCCTATTTAGAGCTCATAACTGTCAGTTTCCATATCTAACAGTAACAAGTAGATCCGCGGTGCAACGAACCCTGAGTCGACAATCCAAGGTCCTGAACAGCAACATCCATCTCGCTAATACCAATGTCTTCATCACGGCGAACTCTATTGCTATACCCAATATCCGCTGGGATTTCTGGCACATATTCCGAGCTCGGGTAGTCCGTCCCAGACCATTTCAAAGAACTAATCTTCAGCCCAACACTTTAAGCACAAAAGGAATTAGCACGCCCTTCATCATGTCGCACCAAGGCAGATAAAAGGGGGATGGAAATATGTATCATATATTACCTGTGGATCCCCGTCTCCATAGCACCACACGATTGTGTTTCCCTGGACCACATCTCATTCTGCGCAAATAATAGATCGTTATGCTCTGCTGCCTTAAATCCAGGCGGTTCGTACCCGGGAGGAGAACCGTCAGTGTAAAAGAGATGTAACTCCATGTACCGTTCATCTGATGAGCCCAAAACCTTTAGCAATAGGGCACTAACTGTTAAGAGAAGAAAAAAGAAAAAAAAAAGGAATATTGTTTTATGAACATACTCGGCAGCATAGGCAAAAACGCGCTCAGCGTAATCAAGCGGCGAACAATCATCTCCAAACCATGTCGTGCCGTCTTGACAGTTTTCATATCCGCCGTACAACCAGTCGATTCGAGGGAGACGCTCGCCAACTGCTTGCCGACATCATCGCCGCCGTCCTTTTGTTTACATCCACCCCCGCCCGTAGCTGCAGGTGTATACTTAAAGGTGAAAGTATAACTTTCCAGCACGTGCGAGGACTTCGTCTTATCGACGAAGATGGTCATCTGCAAAGCTTCCAGAAAGTTTTTCTCAATGGCGTCGAATATTTCCATGTTCCTGGGGATCAAAATACTAAGTTAGTAGCAGGGACCAAAAAAAAAAAAAAAAAAAAAAAAAAAAAAAAAAAAAAAAAAAAAAAACTTAAACGGAACATAAGGATAGAATGACATGAAGAAAAAAAAGTTTCTAAACGCACAAGAAGATCAAGCAACTTATCCGCCTTGGGATTCTTGCCGCGCACAATAATCTTCAATGGCTGCGCTCGTCTCTCATGGGTATTTCTATTAATATTATTATTCGAAGCAACAGGTCCTCCTTCGACGAAGTTCGCGTATGACACGTATGAATTCGGTTTCGAAAGCTTCATGAGATCGCGCTCATCGAAGCAGTCCAGCGGTAAAAACTCCCTAGAAAGAAGAGGCAAAGAAAATATCACGAGGGAGTAAGTAAGTGGCTATGGAAGAGTAGAGAGAAAGGAAGTGGACACATATATTTTCTTCCTCCCGTCGGCGACGTCACGCGCGTCTACTATTTTTCACAGGATCGATGACTTGAGGGAGAACGGCGAGTTCTTACCTGAGGTAGAACAAGGTGCCAAACTGGGTTGTTGCAGGGGGTAAGAAGGGGTGGGAATGTGTTAGCCAGATAAGCAAGCTCCCTCTACAGCCACATAGTAGTACCAGGGGTGATAAGGGGGTTAAAACTAACAGATGCATGAAGCATGATTTGGACCAAGGCCAGGCTCTGAGCCTGTTTCACACCCTGGGCATGCTGTTGTTGCTGTTCTTTCTGGACTGAGGCCTGCATGGCAGTTGTAGTACTCACAGCAGGCATCCTGGATGCCACTTCAGTTCCAGTGGCCTGCTGGACTGCACCAGTGAAAATGATGCGTGCCATTTCTCTGATGGAGTCTTGATGAAGTTAGGGGATAAATGAAAGAATAGTATAGGTTAAGAGAGTGATGAGTGATGAGGATGCTGAGTGTTGAAGGTGTTGGGGAACACTTGAAGTCAGGACAAGTTTGCCGCAGAGGAGAGATTTTTTAGCATAGCAAGAGAACAGGAAGTGGATTGAGCGATGGAATTCCAGCCTTTCGAAGGGAATTAAGGATCTGGTAAAGGAATGTGGGATGGGGGATGATATTGAACAGCTGCTGTGGTAGTGAAGAGTGTGAAAGGTGAAGGTAGAGGAGATATAGAAGACTGAGGAGAAAGGAGTGTGTTGTCATGGAGAAAGCTGGCAGGAATCTATTTATACTGATTGTTTAACCACCAAGACAATCAGAAGAAAAGTAGAATGAACAACATAATAGATATGTCAAACAATTTTTGAAATGCAATCTTCTTTTTTAGACATAATAAAAACATTTGTGTCCTTTATGTTTCAAAGAATAGTGTCCTTTTCCAATATGGATTGTCTATTAGAGTAAATAGAAAGGAATACCGGAGTTCAAAGCCAGACATAGGCTTTGATGCGCTATCAATATATATTTTTGCATCTAAATGAGAGAGGTAACTGAATCAAACACAGCAGTAACCGTGAGTGATATAAGCACACGCAGAAAGGTGCAATAAAATACAGATAGTTGCTGGAACCAGTACAATATCAAACCAGGCACGCTTCGACTGCAAGGTTAGGCATTTTCGCCACGCCATTCAGCCAGAGAGAAACCGTAAGAGGATGAAATTGCATAGCATATTGGATTCACAGAATGGCAGAGATGTGAACAGGGCGATTTCTAGATAGAAGAAACATGGAGTGGAGGATATCAAAGAGAAAACAACTGATGCAAGATGATATACATTGTGATATCAAAACCACTCTGTATGCATCAATAGGGACATATACATGAAGAACTGGAAAGAAAAGGCCCATTGACGTGTGATGCGATATGATATATAGAGAGGGTCGAAAAAGACTCGTGATTTCCTCACCCTCCAGGGCGGCGATTTTTCTATTTCAACAGAAATGGGATAGAACATTAAACAAGCGCAGGAGGTTTGATACATTGATCAAAAAGAGCCCAAGGGAAAGTAAATAGGGAGTTCCTTGGTGGTATCAAACTTTGAGGGGCAACGCGTTGAGCAGCCCTGTAGGTTCCTGGGGATTAATTATATCTGGGGTCAGATATAATCTGGATGTGTATCTCTGAGCTATGATCTGGATAATAGCCACAGCTGTAGTCTGATATCCAGTAAATCAATATCCGTGTAAGGTAAGTCATAGTCGGTTGGTTAACAGTTTTCCAGGAAAAAAATAAACAAAGGGAATATCTTCGGGAGCAGCTCGGTTGGAGATATCGGGGTGGCGACCAAAGATCCAACCGCCGTCACCCAACCTTAATAAAAACACCTTGAAGGACCGGGGAGCAGGCGAGAGACCAATGGGACAAAAGCGAATCTACATTAATCCTATACATAAGGGGCAGATTTGATTTGAGGACCAGAATGAGGTTGACCACTCCCATGATATGGTGTATGTGTAAAGATGCCTGGAGGTATGTAACTTAGGTAGGCAGGCGCGTCTACCTATATACTCCATACATACATACATACATACATACATACACAACAACACGAACCCGTAGAGAAAGCAGAGATGTGTGGAGGCAAACACAAAGCAAAGACATTCAATTCAATACAGAATGGAATGAGACTGGGATGGAAACAAACGTGCATGCCAAGTCAGCGTAGGCGCCGGGTCTGGGCTGAATTTCAGGTACCTTATACCTTAACAAGAGCCTAGGAAAGCAGTAGTTGAGGGTAACTTACCAGATACTTACAGAGCAGACAGGCCCCCGAATCGGTGCCCCCACCACGCGTATAGCCAGGGAGGATTCCAAAGTTACCGTACAGGACGTATTGGCCGTACCGACGATTCTAGCTAGCCTAGTAATAATGTATGTACTGTACAACAGTATTGGTATATTGTATGGCAGTTCACTTCAAGTCACTTCCAAGGTAGCAATGCAGCAAGCAACCACGTCCGTCCGCCGTCACGTTCCTCACCCTGTCCTGTCCTGTCCTCGCTCGTTTGTATCTCTTCTCCTCTCTCCTCTCCTCTAATTCTCTCTTCATCTCTCTCCTCTCCCCTTGCTGCTGCTCTCCCGCAACCCCAATAGTAGAGCAGTAGAGCAGTAGAGCAGTAGAGAAACCAACACCAGCATAGCATCCCGATACCTACCCCTCTTCCTTCTCTCTGTTGTGATATACTCCGGCTGTTGTTTTCTTCTGGTGTCGTCCTCTTGCTCTTCTTCTTCCCCTCTCTACTACTACACTTCCTTCACTTTTTCCCTCTCCTCCTTATCTGCACCCCAAGGTGCTGCATTCTCGTTCCATTCTATTGCCTCTTCGCGGGTTTTGGTTTTGATCTATTAGATTTCTACCTTCTCACTCTCCCAGTCCTGCCTTTGCTGCCGTGCACAAATCTGGCGGGCTATTTAACTCGATAGATAGCTCAGGCTTCATACTCTCCACGACCAACCTGCCAACCGCAAATACCTTTGTTTAACCCCCTCTCTTTACGGCTCATATATCCCCTTCACTACTACTACTACTACGCGTCGAGGTTTGCTCGTCCTTCCTTGACTGAGCTGTTGGCCCGAACCCTGGGACCTGGTGGACCCAAGAAGCCGTACTCGTCCGGCTACCATGATTTGATTGCAAAGAATCTGAACAAGCTGTAACAAGTCCGTTTAATGTTGGAGCTTGGTACCCTGGGTGTCAATACGGCCTTTGGAAGTGTCTCTGCGAGCCCATTTGCTTTATCTCGAACGGCGATGCCCTGCCCGTGTGCGAGCCCCAACGATACAGCAGACTCTAGTTCTAAAACTCTGTCCCGGAACGCGTCTGTCTCGCCAGTACAGTTCCCCGAACCCTCCTCATCATATAAATCTTTTCCAGCCAGCTTCGAACACCCTGCAAGTTGCGATGGGAAGATGGATCGTTCAGACCGTGTAGATCGTCTTCCCTCAAACAGTTCGGTCGGCCAATTTTCTTTCGCTCCTGCCACCCAAACTACTGTCATCACAACAACTACAACGACCACTACAAAATTCCCTCCGCTGGTCATGAAGACCCCCGGTTCGTCCAGACCTCTTGACCCCAAAATTTACCCTCTAGCTGCTACCCCGACGCCTGATTCGATAAAAGATATCCATTTTGAGCTTGGGGACACTTCAATCGTCTTTAACGAGTCCGAGGATTCGTCAGACACTTTCGAAAAGGTGAGAAATTCCGTTGGCCCTGCCCGTCCATTTATTCTCAACGGAACGGGTAAATCGTGACTACTTTTGCGTCTATATGGGTAAAAACTCCCATTCCTGTTTGTTACTAACATGTCAAATAGTTGAAACAGCAGGCTGAAGCCCTAAGGGCATCTGACGGGGTTATCCGGTCTATATCAACTTATGAGTCCCGAAAAACCGCTCTACCTAGGCGCTCACGTCCCGCAGAAGACCCACGCCAAAGGCTGAGACGACGACCGGTATCACAGATTTCTCTACCCGAATCTTCCCATGAAATGAAGCGGACGCGTTCTGCAACCGCTCTTGCAGCAGACTCCATCACCCGTCGTCGTAACGCGCAGTCACACTTGGACGCTGCTCGACTCAACAAGGACGTTGGTTTGGCCACGCCAGAAACAGAACATAACAGCTTCAATATGGGTAAAGACCAGAGCAACCGTCGACGAATCTGCAGCTTAGGGTCTTTTGGAAAGTCGTCTTTCGAATATTCACCCGGATCCTTGGCGGAAGAAAACCAAAAGCTTCTCAGCCCGTTGCCGCACTCGCGCAAGGACAAGGCCGCCCAAGTCCAGAGATCACCATTATTTGAGCGTCGAACTGGATTGAATACCGAGGAGCTCGTAGGTCAATCGACATCCAATGATAATATTAATAGTAATGGGAAGCAGCTGGGTGACGATGTAGAACACCCTGTGTTAAGACGTAGACGCTGTTCTGCTGCGACTTCGGTCAAGCGGGCGTCTCAAGTACCGACTAGACGCCTAAAGGCCGTTGATAGTCTTGCTGCCCAAGATATGTCCCTTCCCAGCCCAAGTCTTTCCCCGGTCACGGCTATGAATGCTCAAAATCTCGACACGTCTTTCGATTCTGCTGAAGAGCAGGAGAGTGACACGGATTCTAGTCTTGACCACTGCTCAAAAAAGCAGAAGGGCTCTACGGACTATGTTCTTGCTAAAGGCCGCTTTGGGAAAGACGAAGGTAGTATTGCTGATTCATCGTCGCCAGCTTTGTCTTTGATGGATATGCCTTTGATGTTGGATTACTTCGAGTCAGTCCCAGATAAGCTAAAGTCGTATATGATATACCAGCTGCTGCGAAGATGTCCAAAACCAACGTTACGCTTTGTGGCTGGCGTCGTCGATCCAGCTCTCAAATGCGATTTCCTAGCTCTTCTCCCGCTTGAGCTCAGTCTCAATATCGTCAAGTACTTCGACGTTAAAACTATGTGCCGGGCTTCGCAGGTTTCGAAGAAATGGAGGCACATTATTAACTCAGATGAAAAGTCCTGGAAAGAGCTTTTCGAGACGGCTGGGTATGTTTTACCACGCGGGGAGTTGCATCGTGCTATTGAGGAAGGCTGGGGATGGCAATGCCCGAACCCAGGAGATGAGGAAAAGGACCTTCGATGTTCTACCGCTCTTAAATCCGATAGTGAGAACTCGTCTGCGTCTACGTCATCCTTGGCATGGTTATCGTCGCGGAAAACGAGACAGAGCCTAGGCCCTTTGTCAGCCGGTTCCCGACGACCCAAACGAAAAGCGACGACCAGGGTTACGAGTCGAAAGCTTGCGAAAAGGAAATCTGGAGTATCCTCTCAAGCTGAGCATCTAGAGTCTATTGGCTTGATGGACGACTTGATCGCTGCGGAAAGCCCGTACGCTGCTGCGAATGCAGCTGCATTGGCAGTTCCGTACCCTGAAGTTGGGCTACCGTCCCTACGAAGCTTGCACCTCTACAAATCACTCTACCAGCGACATCATCTCATCCATAAGACATGGATGCGAAACGACGTCAAGCCCATGCATATCGCTTTCCGTGCCCACGATCGTCACGTCGTTACTTGCTTACAATTTGATACTGACAAAATCCTCACTGGAAGCGATGATACCAATATTAACGTATACGATACGAAAACGGGGGCATTAAGAGCAACCCTTGAAGGTCACGAAGGAGGTGTCTGGGCGCTGGAGTATCATGCGAATACACTTGTTTCGGGATCTACGGATAGGTCGGTCCGCGTGTGGGACATTGCAGCTGCTGAGTGTACCCAGGTTTTCCAAGGACATACTTCCACTGTGAGATGTTTGCAAATCTTGTTGCCTGTTGCAATTGGAAAATTACCAGATGGAACGCCAAACATGATGCCAAAACATCCGTTGATTATAACCGGTTCCCGAGATTCGAGCCTGCGGATTTGGAGACTTCCCCAACCAGGAGATCCACGCTATTTCGAAAGTGGATCCGACGCTGAAAACCCCTACTTCGTTCGTGCCCTGACCGGCCATCAACATTCTGTGCGCGCTATCGCAGCCCATGGCGATACCCTAGTTAGTGGAAGTTACGATTGCACAGTGAGAGTCTGGAAAATATCTACTGGAGAGGCGCTTCATCGCCTTCAAGGCCATACCTTGAAAGTTTACAGTGTGGTTCTAGATCACAAAAGAAACCGCTGCATTAGTGGATCCATGGACAACATGGTTAAAATTTGGTCCCTCGAGACAGGTGCGGTTTTGTACAACCTTGAGGGACATGCATCCCTCGTTGGGCTGTTGGATCTTCATTCAGACAAGTTGGTATCAGCCGCAGCTGATTCCACGCTCCGGATTTGGGATGCGGAAAACGGACAGTGCCAGAGTGTATTTAGTGGCCATACTGGCGCCATTACCTGCTTCCAACATGACTACCAGAAAGTAATCTCTGGTTCTGATCGGACTTTGAAGATGTGGGATGCTCGAAGCGGGCAATTCCTCAAAGATCTACTCACTGATTTGAGTGGAGTTTGGCAAGTTAGGTTTAATGATAGGAGATGCGTTGCTGCTGTCCAGCGAAACAGGTTGACCTATATCGAGGTACGTTTCTTTTCTTTTTCTTATCTTTTGAAGAATAGCGATTCCGATTTATTTTAGCGCTTGGCTAACCCATATGTCGCAGGTGCTTGACTTTGGTGCATCTCGTGACCGCATTCCTGCTGAGCGTCTGGGAACGCGCATCGTCGTCGATAGAAATGGGAAAGAAGTTGTAGAAGATGAGAGCCTAGCAGAACGCGGAAGCTCAGACATCTAACGCCTAGACCTGTGTTGTTGCCCATTTTAGCGGCCCTAACCTTTATAAAGTTACCTCAAACAAGATCCTTCTATCCGCCTATGACTACCATCTCGATTCGTTCTTGTCGATATTATTGTTATTATTCTTTCCGGCACGATCACTATTCAGGATCGTTGCTGTCTCTCCTTGGGTCCCCTTTACTCCCCAAGCCATCAACGACCTTCAGATACCAAAATATTAAATACCAAATTTACAACCCGACCACGTACGACTCAACGAAGACAACAAAATATTACTTTTCGGGGAAATCATTGCTTATCTTGGGCTTGCCTTGTCGCATTGCTGCCCCATATTCGCCTTCTCTCGGAGGAAAGGTGTAGTATCACGGCGAGTCAAAGCTCCCAGGGGTCAAGGGCAAGGCAAAATCCCTAGGATCATATCACTTTCCATCACGTTATTTGACCAATGACCAATTCCTCTTATCTTCCACTTTTTTTCTCCTGCAAAAACTATTCTTCATTCCGTCGCTTTCAAACATACTTTTACATTGTATTGCGCATTTGCATCTTCTTTATCTTCTTGTTCACTTTTTGCCTGATTCACGATGACTATCATGTATATCTAGTCACAATGTTTTAGCATGCCTTCTTGTTGCTTCTTTTCTTTCTTCAGCGATACCATACCTCCTATTACTCTTATCATAAAATATCTTTGCTTTTCTTCTCCCTTCATCCTTCTAATAAACATCTTCTGTGCATGTTTTTATTCTTATATTTTCCCCCATTGTTTTTGTTATTATGAAACGTCTTTGTTTGTGTAATGTGCCCGAAATCGTCATGTTTGTGGGAAAGGGGGGTTATTTTATTCGAGGCACACACATGAAAACACTTCTTTCAACGCGAGCGTTTCGCTTTATTTTGTTCATTCTCTCATTTTCAATCCAGGGTTTTCCAAAGGTTAGGTAGCACTCGATTTGCAACAGTTATTTTATTCCATTATTGGAAGGCCTTGTGTGAATATTTACTGTACAAAGTATACGTTTGGGGTAATATAATTTCTATTTTTTTTGTTCATTTTATCATTTTTCGAGGTAGGTACGCCGTACGGTACGTAGCTTTCTTTGTTTTGTGTAGGAGCTAAGTTCTATTTATTTTATTGAAATGGATGTTAAAAATGTAGTCTTTTAAGGTTCTATATAAGTACAGCGTATCCAAAAAACAGGGAACAGCATCTCCAATAGTGGTACAGATGGTCTTGTGGGGGGGGAATGTGAAATAGGGAAAAAAAAAACAAGTCCCAGAACACCAAGTATAGCCAAACTCGCTAATAAAAAAAAATACAACAACCCATCTACAGACCATACTCACCATTCCCAACCCAATCTAACCATCTACTAATCTAGCCCCTCATCCGCGCTTGTTGGCCCCCGCAATCCCCGTACCATCCGCACCTCCACCACCCCTTCCCGCCCCAACCCCAACCCCAATCCCCAACCCCACCGCGCGCAGAATCGACCACCGAATCGGATCAACTCCAAGACACCCCGCCTCATCCTTCATCTTCATCGAGCAGGCCAAAATCTCCCCGAGCGCCGGCGCCCCCAGCTCCGGCCGCTCCTCCTGCTCCTCGACCCCTTCATCCTGCCCTTCCTGCAGCTTCTGCTTCTGCTTACTCGTGCTCCCCACGTTCCGGACAGGTTGCACGCGCTTGCGCACCTTGTCGGCGAAGCGGCAGAGCTCGTCGATGCGCTCGGGCCGGAGGCCGCGGGCGCCCCGCTTCTGGCCGCCCTTGATGAGGACGGAGTCGGCTTTGGAGAGGATGATTTGGTGCGGGACGGCGTTGGCGCGGAGGAGGGAGAGGATGGCGGCGTCGGCGGCCTTGATGCCGTGGTGCGAGTTGATGAGGATGTAAGTGCGGCGGAGTCTGTGGGATGTGGTTTTTTTTTTTTTTTTTTGTTTGGTTAGTGAGGGTTTTTTCCTTTTTTTTTTGTATATGTATATAAGTATGGGATACGCACTGCTTCCTCTTCGTTAGGTACTTAAGAATCTCCTCCCCCCACTCCTCATTACTCCCCTTCCCATAACCGGGCGTATCAACAAGAACAACCTTGGCCTCCCCGCCCTTCTTCCCCCCAATCCCATACGCATTCAACGTCGTCGTCAGCCCCAACGTCGCCGATGTAAAACACATATTTTTCTCCATAATCGCATTCAGCAACGACGATTTGCCCGAGTTCGAGCGGCCCAGGAACGCTACCTCGGGCACATCGGACATGGGTATCGTGCGGAATTCGCTGGCTGTCCACATCCGGATGGGCGAGTGGTTGGACGCCCTGAAGACGTCGGCGCTGTGTTGGAGCTGTTGGGGGGTTGGGGCTAATGTATCGTAGTAGAAGCAATAGTCAAATAAATCGAGTTGGGCGGGCGGTGTAGAGGCTGCGAGCTTAGTACCGGGTATTTGTAGCGGTCGTTCCGCGACCCTGAGGAGGCTTTTGACTGTGTTGGTTGCAGATTTGGCGGCGGCCATCGTTGCCGTTGTTGTGCACTACCGGTGGGTGCTATGGATTTGTCGGGAGGACCAGGAGGTGTTTATGAAATTAGAGGATAGAATGCTGGGATATATTGGGAATAAAAGGGTGTACTGTGGCTGTAATTCTTCAATTGGACAATTTTCGGCGCCCGGCGTGGAGCTTTGAATTTTCAGCTGTCACTCTCAGTATTCCAGCCTACCAATTGGCTAACCACCGCCTATTACGAGTGTATGGTAATCCCGCGGAGGTGGGTGTGGTGGCTAATGATGATTCGATATTCCCTCAACGCAGCGTAAGATCAGTGAGAATTAGCACCTGATTAATTATTAATAAGAATTTGCTACCTGTTAGAGCCGTGTCACTGGTGGATATCAGGGTGGAACTGCAGCTATACAACAGGTCATGATATTACTGATTCTTGAGTAGGAGAACTAGCTATGGAAGGAGAGCAGGGGTATAAGGTTGCCACGGCCTGTGTGGGTCACATGATGACCACGTGACGGTGCCCTAAGCCCTAGCGGCCTTACACTCTGCCTCTCCACCTCCCCCACACCTCTAAGGGTGGCGAGATGAATGTAATGTATATTAAAAGGATATGATTACATAGGCAACATGCATGAAGAAAGAAATATATAAAGCAACAATGAGACTGAGCTGTATGATACTTAATTTGGTTCTAGCTCTGCAGGCATGAAAAAAAAAAAACTTGAATGAGATCAATGAGACATGCTCTGTCTTGAGTCTTGAGCTGATAAGACAGGCCCTGTCTCAGTTACTGAACTAGCAGAACACATTCTATTCTAGATGTCTATGTGTAGCAGGACATGCCCTGTTCTACAGAAAATGAAGAGACTTATCAGAGTGTAAGAAATCCCGCTCCTCGCGGATTCTTTACCTCTATTCCTATCTCTCACATAATCAATTGGGCTAGCGGCCCTTGGCTACACACAACTATATAGACTGGAGTTCATGAATACTATTCATAACTCAGCTTGAATACTATTATATATTTAACTTCTATATTTTATCTTTCTACTGTGAATACTTCTAGTAGTTAACAGTATATATCATATCAAGCTGTAAATATCTGAATAATTGTCTGTAAGCACTTATTCTTACATTTCAAGCTCAGTCAGTCAGTAACTGTCTATTATAACTAAAAGAACTAGAAACTTATATACTTTAATTTCTATAAATCTCACTACAGACACTCAGAAGCAGTCATCTGAATTATGAATAATCTCTATAAAAGAAGTCTTAGAGAACTTATTAATTACTTATAGAATATTATTCTCTATATCTATAACAGAGAAACTCTTCAAACTGATGAATAAACTAATTTTAGTAAAGAATATTCTTGAGTATCTCTCACAGAATTAAGCTATTTTTCTATAAGAAATGCTTACTGTCTATAAATATTCTTGAACTGAGTCTCTAGACATAATCTTTAGAGATATCTATGAACTGAAAAGAAACTTTCTTAAGCTATAATCACTTAAGATTACTTATTGAATTACAATCTATAAAAGCTTTTATAAGTTTGTATTTGAAATTGACTCATAAGCTTAGTTATATAATATAAAAGATGAAGAAGCTGTTATCTATATAATAATAGATCTCTATTATACTGAAGTCAAGAACTGACTGAATTATTCAAAGAATAATTATAAAAGATCTTATTAATCTATTCTCAAGATTTATCTAGAGAATAAGTTGAGAGACTCTGTAAGTCAGATAGAGAATATCTGAACTATAATTATTAATATTAGAAAAAGAGATGAGAAATCTGATAAAGATTACTTATAATATTTTATAAAATTATAATATGAATTAAGATCTGCAGAAATAGAACTCTGAAATAAGACTTAAATAATAATATTTATAAAGAGACTGAATAAAGATATATAGAATAAGCTTATTAAGTAAGACTCTAAGTTCTTAACTCTGAAGAAACTGATAACTTTTATTCATTACTTATAGATCACTGTGAGAGTCATAGATTTACAGAGAGTAAATTATCAATCAGCTCTGTAAGAGTTAGAATAACAGAGAACAGATTTATTAGAAAAAGATAATAAGATATAGAGAGATTTATATCTGACTACTAAGCAGAGAGAAAGAGCTTTATAAGCTTTTATAAATAGAGTATATAATAGAGAGATTAAGAAAAAGAGACTCTGCTTTATCTATTTTAAATTAGAATATCTCTATATAAACTGTCTGAATAAATTAAAATAGAAATTTAGAGAGTTATGAACAGAGTTAGTAATAGTCTTCTTAAGAGTCTTAAAGCTGACATCTGAATCTGTTACTCTCTTAATGAAAATACTTACTCATAGAGAGAGATTACACTGCAGTACTACTGTTTCACAAGTATGAAAAGTATTAATAAATTCAGAATCTCAGGTTACTGTGATGTTTCTAAAGCTTGTAAAGTATATAAGCTGAAAGATGAAGACTGAGAATCTGCTCTTATAATAAGCAGAGTATGAGAACTCAGATCTGAGAACTGAGAAACTTATAAAAGTTATCTTTAAATTACAAGATCTCTCTGAAATCTGAAGAAGATTTATAGAAACTGTGATTATTACAGATATTATAGATAATATGTACTTAAGACTTATATAACTTTAAAAATATAATTTATATATAGCTGTTTATAAGTCAGGTTTATACTTCTGATCAGTGTTAACAGACTTATAAAGATAGAATTAGTTAATGCTGCAGAGTTAGTTAGAGAAGACAAGCCTATCTATATAATAACTTTATAAGTGTCTGAGAATCTTGCAGTTATGAAAACTGAGCTTCAGATATCAGAGAAATACTGAGATCTTGCAGAGATATTCAGCTCAGTAAAGGCAGCTGAGCTTTCTTCTCACTATAAGAAGAATCTGATAATAGATTTGATAGAAGAACAGAAACTCTTCTGAAGATTAATTTATAAGCTCTTTTATTATGAGACAGAGGTCTTGCAGATCTATGTGAAGAAGAATCTGAAGAATGACTTCATTCAATCTTCACAGTTCTTCACAGAAGTCTCTGTGATGTTTGTGAAGAAGAAGAATGAAGATCTGTGATTTGAAAGAATGTACAACTGTCAGATAATACCGCGGCCGCTTCCGAACTACTAGTGTACGCGTACGAGTGTAAAGGGGCCATAGCAGCTGCTAATTAAATTAGTGTACAATATTACAATATATAAGAAGTCAGTGTACATCTGTAATTATACACTGACTTAAGCAATCTTTGAATCACATCTGATAGTATGTCTAAAAACTGGTGAGAAGTGCAGGCTTCTTCAGAGCATGATAATTTCATTTATGAAGTAATTCATAGTTATCATGCCAGTGTGGTTCTAGAACATCTCAAAAGATAGTATAAAAAGAGTGATGAGTGAAAGAGCATCTGATTGATGCTGCTTTACTTGTTGAGAGAAAACTTCACACTCAGACAAATGCCATGTATGAGACATGAACAGATGAGGTGTGAGAAAAGAAGATGAGAGTGATGAATCAGATTCAAAGAAGTTCACTCTCTACTTAAAAGAAGAATAAAAAGAAAGAGTGATTATAACTGAAGTTATACAATGATAACAGAAATCATATAATGATATAGTGATAGAATGATATAGTAATATAATAATACAAGTGATATAATAATAGACATCATATAATTAATCAGAAATCACTGAAATGAATACCTTCTCTAGCTGATATGAATAATACTCTTCTCTGCTATCTGAACTGAAAGATATGCAGAACCTCTCAGAGAGTTTACTTGAAACAGTAAGAAAAGTAACTGAAATCACTGAATCAGAATTGAAGCTCTGTATGTGTATGAGAATACTAAATGAGATCAAGGCCTTGTGTACACAGTGACAGACTGAGATGAAAGTCAAACAACAATTGACATTCACTGCAGACCAAGCATTCACTATAAAGAGCTTTGCTGATGCAATTATCATCATTAATAAGAATAGAGAAAACCAGATCTTAGATCTGCAGTAGAAGATCAAATAATTACACAGATAGATGATTACACTGAATCTGAAGATCTTATTATAATCATTCATAATCTCTTCAGAAGTGTATACATCATCAGAGACTGCTGTGCAGAATGAGAATCTGAGCATGAGATATATCAAGCTAAGAGATCTGCTGAAGTTATCAAGCTTTAATAGTAACTGAAAAAATGATGCTGTAATCAGCTGACTAAGTCAGATGTGATCATATTATCAGATTGAACATGAACTCACAGACAGGCAGTTAACAGAATTTTAACAAGTCTTAAGATCTGCTGTGTTTCTATATGAAAAAGCAAAGTCATTATGAATAACTGATAAAAAGATGAATCTCACAGATCTGAAGTGATATTCATTCTCACAAATATGAAATGAGTTTTTCAAATGAATCTTACATAACTTTGAGAAAGTGAATGTATGAGATAAGTATTATGAATACTTCACTGAGTGTAGATAAGTGAGTAATCTTACATTATACTTCACACACTTCAGCTTATACTATCTCATATTGAATGAAGAGCTTTCAACATCTTTCTATTTACAGATCTTCATTCATGATCTTACATCTGAGTTGAGAGTGAAATGAAAATACTTAACCTCACAGTCAGATATGATGAAGAAAGTATACAATATTCTCATTATACAGAAATAAGTAAGTCAATTGTAACAGAAAATACTGTAATCAAGTATATCTTAGAAGAGAACAGATCATCAGACTTCTACAATACAAGTCACACATCTGAATGTAATGAATCTAGATCTGAATGTCATTGCTAAAGCACTGAATTCTCTGAAAAAGAGATTCTCTGAGTGAAAACCTTGATATCATGAGCATTGAGCTTGCTTCAACTGCAGACATTAAAATCATGATGTAAAAGATTGCACTCAGTGTGCACAGTTAAAAAACTAGCAGAATCAGTGAGCTCAGAGACACTCACTGATATTCTATGAAAAGTCTTCAAAGTGAAAGAGATGCTTATGTTAGATGACTCTCTGAATTCTGTGAATATCAAGAGAAAGCAGACTTCTGACTGAGATGCAGATGAGAATGAAGTGAACACTCATCTCAATGTCTTGAGACCTGAAATATTAATGTATAAGAGACACTTGAGTAAGAATCAAGAGATGACTGTAAAAGTGTTAGTAAACATAGAAGCTTCTATATAATATATTAATGATCATATAATCTGAAGATTGAAAGAGATCTGCTGAGTGAAGAATTCTCAATATATAAGATTATCTGATAACTGATATTTGATATCATCTGCAAGAGTAAGAGTTCTCTTGCACTTTGAAGAATGATCTTGCTATATTTGAGCATGAGAGCTGCAGAACATGAAATATGATCTTATTCTCAGACTCAATTGATTTCAAAGATTCAATCTGCAGATTCAATAATGTACATGCTATATACAGTTAATCAATAGAAAGAAAATGATTCATACAATTCTACTAACTGATATGAGAAGAACATTTCACATCTCTGATATAGAAGGATTAAATCTGCTTACACATTAACAAGCAAAGAGAATGATTTGCAAGACCTCATCTGAAAGCATCTTGTATATTATACAGAACTCAGAAGCAGAGGAAATCAAGGTAAAGAATATACAGAAGAATAAGTGTATGAAGAAGCTTCTGAAGAAGTATGAAAAGATCTTCTGAACAGATCTTTCACTGGAATTGCTGTCAGAACAAGGATTCATACATAAGATTGACACAGAGAATGCAAAATCAGTCAACTAGAACACATACTCTCTATTACAAATGTATCTTGAAGAATAGAAGTGTCAGATCACTGACCTTCTAGAACATGATCTTATATAACTCTTATCAAGTACATGAGGCTTTTCAGTTCTATTCATGAAAAAGGCAGATGAGAAGTGATGAATATGTATTAATTATCAAGCACTTAATAAGCTTACAATCAAGAATGAATATTCACTGTCACAGATTCAATAACAGTTAAATACAGTTAAAAATATCTGATATCTATTAAAGATTAATCTTCTTTCAGAATACTGACAGATCTGTATAGATGAACTGTCAGTTCTGTGAACTGTGTTTAATACACAATGAAGAAAGTTCAAATTTCTGATAATGTTATTCAGTCTGCTAAATATGTCTGTTATCTTTCAAATAATGATGAATACAATTCTTCATAAACAGAATGAAATCTCATATCTCATATACCTCAATGACATTCTAGTCTTTTCAAACTCATATGATGAACATCTGAAGTATCTCAATGAAGTGCTTATAACTCTGACAGAGTATAAGCTCTATATCAAATCAATCAAGTGTGTGTTTAAAATAGAAGAGTTGAAGTTCATAGAATATATAGTAAGTGATGACTGTATACATCTTATCTCAGAGAAATTGAATGTTATAGTAAATTAATCACAGCTGAGAAATGTATATTATATACAACAGTTTCTTGAGTTAATCTCATACTACTACAGATTCATCAAGAATTTTGCATGAATATCTGCATTACTCTCAGATCTCTTAAGAGAAATAAATGCAAATCTGTGAAAGAAGAAGTTTCATTCAATCATCTGAAATATTATATGTGAAGAGGCTTTTCTTACACTGAGAGAATATGTAACAATATCTTCAGTACTTATTCAATCAGATTATAATAAACCTTTTTATATCAAGACAGATGCATCTGAATAAGCTATCAGAGATACTCTTCTACAGATGAGTAAGAACAGCAAGCTGTATTCAGTGACATATAATAATAGAAAACTATCAGATGCTGAGCTCAATTACTCAGTATATGAAAAGAAATTACTAGTAATCAAGTACACACTGATGTTGTGAAATAGATATATTAACAACAGATATATAATAACAGTAATCACAGATTACAAAAGCCTTATCTATCTACAATTAATAATAAAACCTTTCAAACACTTAGTATATTGAATCTTGAAGTTTCAAGTGTACAATCTTCATATCAAATACTGAAAGAGATTGAATGCAGTAATACTGAATACAATCAGTTACAGACTCAATTTTATAAGTGAGAGTTCTATGAATCAGATACAAGAGACATTCATATTAAACATGCTGAGAGAATACAAGAAATCAGAATAAGTGAATATTATAATCTCTTGCTTAAAGAATGACAAGGTGTCAGATGACAAGCATCTTGTAAAAGTAGTAGAAGAGATGCTTTCAAACTTCAAGCTGAGAAAATTAAAAAATAATGTTATGCTTTACTGTGATCTAGAATACACAGAAGCTCTCTATCTAGAATCTTTATTTAGATGTGACTTAGTAACTCACATGCACAAGGAATTCAGTCACTTAGAAAGCTCTGAACTCATAAGTGTACTTAAATCAAGAGTATACTGACCAAGTATGACTGAGAACATTCAGACATATGCTCACAAGTGTCTGAATTATCAGGTTATAAAAGAATCTAAGAAAGGGTTAGAATACAAGAAAGTGCAACATCAGATGAAGTGTATGATACAATCATTTAAATGATAAGAGATGAATCTTATAGACATATTACTGTGAACATTAAATAAAAATTAATGAATAATCACTGCTATTGATTATGCTACTGACTAATCAGTTGTGAAAGCAGTTTCAGAGATGATAGAGAAGATGATAGTAAAGTTTCTATATAATGAGATCTATGTTAACTATGAAATGCTGTGTGAGATTCTAACTAATAACAGTGTGAATCTCATAGAAGAAGTGATAAAGCATTTTATGAGTCAGTTATAGATAAGACATTGTAGAACAACACTATATCATCTGCAGATAAACAGGAAGATGAAACACTTGAATGAAATCTTGAGCAACATACTGATGAAATATCTAGTGAGTAAGTCTACAAGACTATGAGATGAATATCTCAGACAGGCACTGTTGATCATGCAGATTCAACAGCATGCAGTCTTCAAGCATTCATCATTCTACCTGTTGTATGAATTGCATCCGCACATTCCGGAGAATGCTTCGGAAAAGGTGAGGGAGGAAGCAGTTGCGGACGCAGCAGGAACAGCAGTTGCAGACACAGCAGGAACAGCAGTTGCAGATGCAGCAGGAACAGCAGTTGCAGACACAGCAGTCGCGGACGCGGAATCAAGATTGAAAGAGATCAGCCATGCACATGCAAAAGCTAATCAGTTACTCCTGAATCAAGCAATTCAATCAAAAAGAATACAAGACTCACTTGTTAAGAAATCAAGTCTCAAGATGAGAATATAGATTCTTATATATAATGAGAGTTCTGAGAAGTTTCAATCTAGATAGTTTGAGTCATATAAGATACTTAAATCACATTCTCTGAAAATGTATGCATTGAAAGAATCAGAGGAACAGATCTTATACAACTTAATCAATGATTCATAACTTATAAAAGCAAAGATATAAGATCTGAGTAGATTATAATTATCTACAGCACTATTATCAGCATTGAAAAAGAAGAGACTTATAATTAAAAAGTCTCATGAAGTAAGAGAAATCATAGACACTTATAAATCAGATGATCTCACTTATTCTGATCTTTTCATAATTATAAGAAAAGAATGAGAAGTAATGAAGAAATCAGATAAATATCACACTTCAATAAGTAATAAGACTGTAGCTGATTATACAATAATATGTCACAGACAGTGAGTGCAACACAGTAAAGAGTGATCTCAAAGTGACAGACTTATATATAAGTCAGATTGCAGAAGAAAAAGAAATTCAGAGTTAAATTTAACTGTTTATATCAGTTTAATCACAGAGATCACAGAGAATGAACTATCTGAAACATTCATAGACATGTAAGACCAAGTCATCTCAATCTCTGAGAATACTCAGAAATTGAGTGAGATTAGTTTCAATAAGCTGTTCACTGTAGTAGTCTGAGCAGGTAAAGAGAGACAGTATAATATATGAGACAGAATTATAAAAAGTTGAAAGCTGCTGAATCTAGTCATCAAATGCTGTATTATATAGAGATCATATAAGAGTAGTAACTAGCAGATAGAGAAAAAGTGTAAGAAAAGAAATAATGAATTAATCATCAACTGTAAAAGTCAGCTGTAAAAGATAAATATTATTATACACATCTCATTCATTTTCATACATCATATGTTTAATCTATTTTTAACATCACATCATCTGAAAAATGTCAAAAACAAAGAAAATCTCAAAACTTGAGATCTGCAAGAGATTCAAGAGCTGCAAGTCACTCTTATAATAATATCATACATATCTCTGATTTCTCTACTGCTCTGCATACAACATTAATATCATTTATCACAAGATTGACTGGAATGCTAATATAGAAATGCATATGCATACATATAGAGAAATTGAAGAAGAGCGCGGGACCTGCAGAATCAGAAGTCAGGGCAGAAGAGACAGAGGCAGAAGAAATAGAAGAAGAAGAAGATGCAGAACTGAATAAATAACAGCAGAAGTCACTCAGGGTTGAATGCTTATAACTCAGTGTACACACAACCTTCTCTGCAGAGAAGAAAGAGAAAGTAACAGAAGAAGCTTGAGAATAAGAGAGAATAGTCTCAGTGATATTATCATCTTCAATCAGAATGGCCTCTGACATTGAAGCAACTAAGAATCATTGTTAGTGTATGAAAATTACAAAAGCAGAGATAGAAACAGTTACTGAACAAACACTCACTAGTCTTAGAGTTATACATACAATTACAACACACATGAGGCTTCTCAGAAAGAGAGAGAGAGACATGAAAGAATGCAGAAAGCAGAATGCAGTGTGTGAACAGCTCATTCTTATAATGATATTTCAGATAAGATGTACAAGTCTCATACTCACAGATATAAAAGAGTACAATATCTGTATTTCTGTTTCTGAAAACATGAATATCTTTTACCTGCATCACAAAGTTGAATGACAGATATCAGAGAATAGACTGATATAAATCTATCATTTTGAAGATATTCATCAGAGTGAATATCTCTGTGATATTGAACTTTATAATTATAAAAAGTTTCTTAGTATCTGTGAATGTTATGACTTCATACACAGTAAAATTCATAATGATTTTCTCTAAAAATAGAAAAATCAGTATTAGAAAGAAAAAGATGAAAAAAGAAAAAGACTTATAATCTTGATACTATTGAGAGAGAGAGTGATTCTCTGAAATAAATGAATAATTACTTCATCATGAATATTTAAAATGAATGTAATAATTAGTGTCTGTAACTGAACTTCAGATAGTTATGTCATATACTATCTTCATATAATAAATTATTCTAGAGATCAGTAAGAAGAGTGAGAGTGTACACACTGAGAAATATGATTCACTAAGTCTATGCAATATCTTCTTGAAACAGGGAGAGCTAGTAAGAAAGGCAGAGATAATAAAACCAGAAGTAGCAGAAGTAGGGATCACGGGAACAGAGGTAGCAGGAGCAGGAGAATCAGACACAGAGACAAGTGTAGAAGATTGAGAGAAAGCAGCAGAGAAAGAAGTAGTAGAAGAGATAGAGAGAGATGCTGAAGACTCAGTTATATATGATACAGACAATTTCTTCATTATCACATTCTTCAAGTTCTCAATCAATGATTTAATACTGAATTCACTATCATCAGCAGACACAGATCTGTCAATATATGATAATTCTATGTGAATAAAAACAAACATATCAGCATCTGTGTTCATGCAAAATCATGCTAGAAAACACAATCAGAAACTCACTGAGAAGAAGAAACAGTTGAGAGTGTATAAGAAGATGAAGAAGATGTGTCATCATTTATGATAATATATTATTCTAGTGATTATTAGAAGATAAACAAGTTCTGATCACATTTCAAAACATATTACACTTACTGCTAATGAACTGCCTGATATGAGCACTACAATGATGCTTGTTATGAGAATGAGAGATCATTGCCAGAAATGCATACAATGTAATAGATGAACAGATAGAAAGAGTTGAACAGAAGAAGAAGTAGAAATCTTGAATAATGATAATATTTGATGATGATGAAATAAAGAAGATAATTAAAGAATGAGAAAAGTTAGTGAATGAGTGATGTAATATAGTAAAAGTTTCTTTATAAGAGTGTATACAGAATACTAGCTGAATCAGGGATAGGTCACACAATTGTGAAACACTAGTGGCAAGCTAATCTGCATGAAGCTAGAGTGTATGACATGATCATATGAGTGTGACTGAATCTGATGAGAGAGGATGTGGTTCAGAAGAATGTATGACTGTCAGATAATATCACAGCCGCTTCCGAACTACTAGTGTACACATACAAGTGTAAAGGGGCCATAGCAGCCGCTAATTAAATTAGCGTATGATATTACAATATATAAGAAGCCGGCGTACGCCTGTAATTGTACACTGGCTTAAGCAACCTTTGAATCACAGATCTCAGATTGTGTGTAGATTACTATGATCTGAACTTTAAGATAACAAAGAGCTGCTACTCTCTGTCTCTGATTGAGAATGTGATCAACTGTCTTACAGAAGCTGTCATATTCATACAACTGAATGTGATCAATGTATATACATAACTGTGAATACAGTCAGAGAATGAATGAAAGACTGTCTTTAGAACTGCACTGAGATTGTTTAAATATCTAGTGATGTCTTTTGATATAACTAATATCTCTGCAGTATTTCAGTCTTTCATTAATAAAACACTTCATGTATATCTGAATATCTTCATAATAATATATCTGAATGATGTGATGATGTACTCTGTGAAGAAGAAAGAACACACTGAGTATGTATGAAGTATGTTGAAGGTCTTAGATAAGACAGAACTGTATATTAAACTTATAAAGTACAACTTCAGTACTCACTGAATTAATTTTCTAGAATATGTAATCACTGCAGATGATATTCAGATAACATCTTTATAAGTTAAGACTATTCTATCATAACTGAAGCTAACTAGTATTCATAAGATTCAGATCTTTCTGAGCTTTGTGAATTTCTATAGATAATTTATCTTTGTATTTATGAGAATCTTCTTGACTCTTACAGATATACTGAAGAGTGAAAATAAGAAGAAGTCATTCTATAAACAGAGAATGAAAAGATTGTTAAGAAGAGAGAACTGTGAGAACTTTCTTATCTCAGAAGCTTACAGAGTCTTTGCAAGATTGAAACAGATATTTATAAATGCAGTGATACTGTTTCACTTTAATCTCTTACTTTTAATCAGATTAAAGACAGATGTCTTCTTCTTTACAATTTCAGAAATAGTCTTATAACTACAGTTAAATGAGAACTGAGTTTCAGTAGTCTTTTTCTCACAGAAGATGCAACCTGCAGAGATCAACTATGACATTTATAATCAGAAGCTTCTTATGATAGTGAAATTCTTTCATCACTGATGTCACTACTTTAAGAACTTTGTGACAGTGATTACTATTAGAACTGATCATGACAGCTTGTGATAGTTTACTTTAATCAAGAAACTCTTATGACAGCAGGTTCACTGAGCTCAGAGACTGAGTGAGTTCTGATTCAAGATAGAACATATCAAGAGAACTAAGAACTCAGCAGATAGACTCTCTTACAGACTAGACTATGTTAAGAAGATCAGAGTGACAGACACAGAGAAACTAGAGAAGATAGAAAAGCTTTACAGAATGCTTAAACTGAGTGTTATGAAGAGATTAACTGAAGAGTCTCTTAATTCTCTGTGAGAGAAGAGAGAAGAGAGAGAGAAGAAGTCTGTATAACTACTCTCTATAACACTGAGAGTCAACACTCTGAGAATCTCTGTGAGAATTCTTGAAGAGAGTATCTATAATCTGAAGAATTTGCAGACTTTGAGAAGTGCTGCAGAAGATCTGATGTAAGAAAAAACAGAGTATAAGTCTTTATAAGATCTTCTATTCAGATTGTCTGAACTACAACTGAAGAATGAATATACTCAGTATATTTAAAAACTGCTTATAACAGAGATCAACTCTGTAGAAATAAAGAATTGAAGAAACTTAAATAATCTCTTACAAAGAGAGAGTCAGATTTATGTATCTGTGAATGAGTTTCTACATATAAAACTTATTAAAAGACATCATGACTCTTCTCTAGCAGGTCATTTTATAGATACTAGAACTCATGAGTTGCTTATAAGAAAATACTTCTAATCAAAGATATGAGAACTTGTGAAGAAGATAGTGAATTCTTATACTATTTATCAGAGTTCATGAATAGTGTGGTTCAGATCATATGAAGAACTTACTTCTCTACTCATTCTGTGAGAA